GGTGTATTATTTATTTCATGGTTTTTCAAAAGCTCTCTATTACCAACTTCCTGACTATTTTTATTGGTTCCTCCTTTACTGACAGCATTGTTCTTCTGTGCGTGGCATAAATAATTCATACCGCTGCCAGTTTGTCAAGTCGCATCCAAGTTGTAATGAAGGATCTATACCCTACATGCAGATTGTTTACTGTTGGTTTTCAAGTGAAGTTTGTCCTCTTGCCTACTGTTTACTTGTGAGTACTTTTACTTTTGCAGCACTACTGTAAATTATTATAACATTATTAAGGCATTGGCTAGCTCTCAGGAAAAATTTATTCTCAAAGCTGTAACTGGTCAGCATGTGCTATGATCTAAAATAATTTTGAAAGAAAAAATAATTATTTAGTGTATATTGCAATTTTTATAACTTCTTTTTACTAGGGTATATGGCTGCTGTTTCTATTCATCGCCCTTGGACTGACAGCAGATGACTAGTGAGTTGGAAAACTACTCTCTTTAGGTTGTGTTATGTTGACCATTTCACATCCAGCAGTCAGACCAAGACAAAATTTCTCCCTAAGATATCAATACCAAGCAGACATTTGAGTAATGAGAATAAAGAAAAATATTAATTATGGGATTACCATAGATTTGTCACTTAATTCTCAGAACTTCAACTATAAGCAATGTTTGACAGACAGTAAGGAGAGAATTACTAAGCGGATCTTGAGAGTGAAAGGGTAAATTGTAGTGAAACCACAGTGGTCTTGAACTTGGTTGTAAGTTTGACATGGTGGTTGGGTTCTGGTGTTGATGACTTTCTGAGAAGAAATACATTAAAATTTGTTTTACAATATGCTTTTCACATTCATATCTTTGTAATTATATTCATATCCTTGTCTATGTTTAGTTGGAAGATGTGTTCAATCAGGAGATATCCTTCAATGATTTTTATGGATAAACTTTTTGTCTTTGAATAAACTAAATTTTGGGGAATTCATTGTACATGAACTGTTTCCCTTGCAGCTTCTGTCCATCTTTAACAGTGATTTCTAGAACTTTAGGAATCAGCCAGAACATTGCCGTATCCTTTACTCAACCTTCATCTTTATCTCTCTCAAAATCAATCAGGCTTAAGCACGTAAGCCTGCATATACCACAGTATTAGTCAGAGTAGTATAAATGTACTGGTTGGAATTCTACCTGGTAGTTTAGGTTTGAAAAGCTGGTAGATTTAAAATGGCTAAAAACAGTTCAAGTTCTCAATGTGTTTCTCAATTTTGTTCTCAACGTGTTTGCCTGATAGTCACTTTGGGCCTCTCTCTCTTCAACTCTCAAATGATAGAAATCTCAAACTCATTATCTAAAGTGAAGTAGCTCTATGGAGGCTTTTTCTATCTTTTTTGGGGTTAAAGCTAGTAAATAGCTTCTTAAACTACTCTTTACATGCCCAAAGGACTGGGAGAAGCCCAACCACTGGGGTTCACAATGAGTTTCCTTAACAAAGTTACACACTCCAGGGAGTTACATTCCTTGCTTTTGGCAATGGTGCTCCTGACATCTTTAGTTCTCTGGCAGGTTTCACTCAGAACAGAGATCAAAGTGGAGTACAGCTTGTGATACAAGCTCTCTTTGGTAAGCTGTGCAAAATCTTTAGCACAAATCCAACCCAAGGATGACCCTTGATTTGAATAACCTTAGGTTATAGTTTGCATCTAATTATGTGCGTCTTGTCTTGTAATTATGAAACATCTTATGAAAGTATGTGTTGCAGTTTAAATGGATCTCTGGTCAAATTGATTTTGATCTAATAGACAGTTTTATACCTTTGTCCAGGCTGTACTACCAATGTCTTTACACAAGGAAAAAGCAAATTGAACAAGTTTTAGATGATATTAAAATCTGAATTAATTTTAAACTGCAGTATATGCAGTGTACCATCGATTGTTTTGCTCAACACCAAAAGGATGCAAGAATCTACAGCTGTATTTTAAAGTAATGTAATAGTACATGCTTATGGTGCAGGTTTAATCCAGATACTGTTCTATCCAATCAAGTATATTCAGTTGATATGGACTGTCCCAAAAAAGACAAAAAAAATTTCCTCCCTTGGCGATAATTGAAAAAGTTAAATCTTTGAACAATATGAGTGAAGTCATGAGTAGAGTTAGAGGTATTCTTTTAAACGGCAAGATGAGAGTTTTCTTTTAAAGCTCAATCAAATGTAAGTAAATCAGATCTGAGAGGAGACACTGAATTACATATCTGTAACTTTTTCTATTGATCTTATTTGTTCAGGTGCTGGTATTTTTGTAACAACAGTGGTTGTTGGGGTAATATCATTTATCTCAAATGACCTTACCCTGACAAACCGTCCTTTTACCAGGGACGTATTATTCTACTTGGGTGCTGTGTCATGGGCTTTTATTACCTTGTACAGGGAAGCAATTACAATGGCAGTGGCAATAGGTAAAATATCATTAACTTAAAGATATGGTGAAAGCTCCAAGATAAGTATTATAGCTGAACATGAAATAATGATCATGTCATTTTTACTGCTTGTTTTATTGTCTTACAAAGTTTTTTAAACTTTAAATCTGTTTTATCAAAGGTGAAAACCTTTTAAGTTAAAAAGAATTTGCTCTAAATTTTCTAACCAAATTTAGGGAAAATACTGATGTTAGCTGTATACTCAAAAAGTAGGATTTTTATTGTGGTGGGATTTTTCAAGACTGTTGTACCTCAGGCATTGTAGTTCCTGTTGTTTTCATTTATTCTTTGTGGCCAATGGCTTATGGTTATTTCAGCATCTTAAAGAAACTCTTGAACTAACTGCAATCTAACCCAGTTTATCTCTCTACCTCTGTTAAAAAAGAAAAACATTACATTTAATTTTGGAAATGCAAAGGAGTTATTCTGTGATACTGCCTAACGATAATGAGTCATTGAAAACCCATTTGCAATATGTTCACTCTCAAGATCTAATTGTTAATTCACCCCTCTGGCAGCGATACATTTCCTCGTAAAATGGTTACGAGAATATAGTTTTAGAATGACCAAATAAAAACCTCCGCCAGACAAGTTTGAGTATTCTCACCACCAGTTTGCTGAAAACTGTATTGATATCATGGGGAGAAGTTACTTGTTAATCACTTCTAGGAGTATAAGAGCTCAAAGAAATTTACTCAAGCTTCACTCATTTGTAATCTCTCCCTTATTAAAAAGGTTTCATAGCACTTTATGTTGTGTACATCGCTGTGGTTATTATTGCACGCTACATCTACCAGGGGTGGAAAAGGAAGGCAGTGAAAGTGGAAATACAACCTGATTCAAAGATAGGTTTGTTTTCAACCTTTTTATCACCCATGTGAGTACAGTCACATTTTAAATATTATATATTATAAGACTGATTACATAAATGTTAAATAAATACGACATATTTGTTTGTATGCGCCTTGTCTACTTTGCAAACACACCCCAAAAATTGTGGACATATTGATTTAAATTGAAAATTTCCATTTTAACGAACAGCATCCAGAGGAGAATTATTTGACACAAGCAACTCAGCAGGAGCAAGAAGACAATTGGATACTGTGAGAGATGCTAATGAACACTCCAGCTGGGCTTCAAGTGTTAATTCACAAAAAAATTATGTCCCCCGCAGACACAACATTTCTCTTACGCCTCATAGTATGATCTCAGGTACTGTTGCAGTGATAAAGTTACATGCAGCTCAGCCTCACAATAAAATTACCATTGGCAGTAGGAAATAGGGTGTGAAGCAATTAAGCCAGAGCTTATTGTGGTTTTGTAGCATGAAGCAACAAGAACTATAATTGCCACTTCCCAGGGATGGGGTTATCATTCAAGTTAGGCTCAGGTTATCCACCTTCCCCCTCCCACTAACATGTCATAAGGTTTCCCTGACAGTTTTTTTGGGCAACTGTTACAGTTTATACTTCTTGTGTGGAGAGAAGCTCTGAGAGTAAAGTGTCTTGCCCAAGAACACAGTGCACAGTGGTGCAGCATGAAATCTTCCATATATACATAGGTTGAATTTCATAATTTCTGAAGCAAGTGTATGGCTGGGTCACACAATATCTGCCTTAAGGACATCAAAGAAGACTTTTCTGCACTCAAATATCAATTTGTACTTTCCTCTTTTTATAGGTGCCCTGATTTCTTCTGAGAATACCCTCATAGCTCCAGCAATTCAAAACGCCCCAGCCCTTACCAGGCAGTATTCATCCGATTCAGGTAATTGTATATCAAGTGTTTATTTTTTTTTAAGCACTGGGTTGGCTTCCCCTTACCCTTTACTGCCTGAGAAAGCCATATGTCACAAGATGCCGTTACATGCTCAATATTTTATCTTCTTTCTGAAATGTTCACAACCAAAAGATCATTGAAAGATCTGCTCATTGAATGCATAAAATCATAGCCCCTCCATTGTAAGACTTGGTTTACCACTCCTGCAACCTTTGGAACTTTTTGTCTTTTTACTGTTTTTGTCAAGGGGATATCTCACAACAATCAATACTCTGAGAGCTTCTGAGTTTAAGCTATAGTTTAGTGGTATACCCTATATGTACGAGCAAACGAAGAATTTCAATGTTTTTTATTCTTCACTTTGGACACTTCTCAGTCTTTCAGTTTCCTCCTTCACAACTGCTGATTTCATTTATTACATACCTCTGAAAATACCTTCAAAATGATATATTATACGTGGTCTAATTGTTCATCGTTCACAATTTAAACAAATTTGGCATTTCCCACGGGCGGTAAAGGGGTTGAAGTTCCAACGATCCTACACTGGTCAACAATACTTCCCTAACTTACTAGATGCTCAAGATAATAAACTGCATGATGCAAAGAGATTGAACCACGGTTCACTGATGTTAATAATTTTCTCCTTCAGAGGAAGATTTGCCTCTTTTGGGAGGTAAACGGAAAATTAGTGCTTGGAGAAAATTTCTCCTTGGTCTGGAACCAATTGACCGTGAAGAATGGAACAGGAGCAACTTTTTCAAGAAATGCTTCATGATTTGTAAGGTAAGAAATTTTTATCTGTAATGCCGTAACTGAGATTAAAATTTGACTTAATTTTTGGTATGATCTCAAATGAGCATATAAAAAGCAAGAAACGGACAACCTTCCTTTAACATATTATCATATGAATTCACTAGGCAAGTACTTATTTATTCAGTGAGATATTTTCTCGATGATTGCAGGCTCCCGCAGTATTTTGTTTGAATCTTACCATACCAGTGGTGGATTATGATGAAGAGGAGCATAATTGGAATAAATGGCTGAATGTTTTACATTGCTTGACAATGCCTGTGTTTGGTGTCTTGGCTACAAATAGTAAGGATTTCTTATCTCACGATGTTGTCTTAGGACAAGATCACTTATAAACGCGATGTTTCTTACTGCATAACTTCCCGTTAATGAGCAGCTATAACATCCTTGGGGAATTTTTCATCATGTGGCTCTCTGCCACCCCTCCAGACCTGTGAATTGAGGAAACTATTAAGAGATGTATTGTCCCCACTGAACAGGTTTCTTCCACAAGATACAGACCCCTAGCTAAGAAAAAGACTAAACCTAACAAAAACAGGGCTAAATAAAACAAAGAAAAACTAGCGAGCAAAACAATTCCGTCATGTTAAACTCTCTCTTTGGAAAAAATGGTATTTTTTTTCTTTTAAACAGAAGCTATTTTACAGGGCTTACGGGGAAACATTTTTTTAACACGGTGAAATTTTAATATTTAGAGATCTTTCGCGTAACGAAAACTGGAGGTTTATTTTATTAATAAACATGCACTGATGAGATTTTTTTTTTTAGATTATAATCATATGATTGGTGGCAAACTTCCTGCCTGGGCCCTGGCTCTCTGCGCTGGACTGGTTCTAGCTTTGATTGTTGCTATGACAACAAAGAGTGAAAAGAGGCCTCGGGGCCATTCGGTAAGAACTTTTAAATGTTGCTCAGGAAGGTATTTTTAGAGACATCTGCAAATCGTAATGTGAGCAAGCTGGGGTGTGGTTGTCACTTCCTTCCCAGCGAAGGGTTCTTTGTGCAACGGGTGTGGTGCATATCTAGATTAGTTCAAATTGAATGTTGAAGAACCCAGTTAAGATAAATCACATTTTCAAAGTTGTAAAGTTCAGGACTTTTTATTGATAAAGATCAAAAGTTTGGCAAGGTTTCTTTATGACCCATACTTTGTTACGCATGCAGTTATTTGATAAAAGCAAAAAAACAGCGAAAACAATGGCTTACCTCCGAGAGTAATGCTTTGTTTTAAAATAACACGGGGTCATACGGAAATCTTTCCGAATTTTTCATTAAACAATGTGTTGGAAGGATTTCCACTCTTGATCGCTGTTTTGCACTTCGCCGACAGATGTTTTTAATCAAGCATTTTTTGGTTATTTAAGATAAGGCATTTTTTTTGTTTGCGTAAGATATCAGGGGCTGTCAAGATTAGTTCATATAGGTGAGTTAGATTAAGAAAGCGGCAGTACGGAATCCGAGATCAGGTTGAAAGGACTGTGCTTTATTCGAAAAGTTTGTTTTCTGCCTTTGTGCAAGGACTGGTATAACACCGCGTCTTCAGCGGGATAACGTCTTACAGAATTGTGATTATATCAACACTGTACGTATTCTAAAAAGCTTTTTTGTCGCTTCTGTTTTTGTTATAACCAATATAGGCGATCCTTAAGTGTATTTTTTGCTTTCAGTTGACTAGCAAGCGCGTGTGCAAGAGAAAACTCGCTGATTAAATTAGTTAAAAAAATTGGTAGACCCCGAGGACTCTATTTTCCTGGTGAATCTTCAAAATCAGTAGTAGTACCCAAACCCGTGGTGCGAAACAGTCGCATCCTAATCATCACTCCTGATTGGTAGATTCTAGAAAAACATTAATAAATCAGTTTCAGTCTTCTCAGGTATAGATACAGCAATATGAGATTTAAAATTGATCACTTACTAGTCTTATTATGTTATTGAATTTCTCATCAGTTGTTTGCCTATCTGGCGTTTGTGGTTTCCGTGGTTTGGATTTACATCACAGCAAATGAGATTGTCAACCTTCTCAAGGTATAGAATACCTCTTGTTGTCAGTTATGCTTTGCGAATTTTGGGCGCCCTATTTGACACCCCGATGTAAATCTTATGGGGCATTTTCTTCAGACTTGCGACTTTGATTTTGTTTCCATTCTTTGATCTGTAGATGTTCGGTATCGTGCTTGGTTTAAGTGATGCAATTCTTGGCCTTACTTTTCTTGCATGGGGAAACAGCTTAGGTGGTAAGTTTGGACTCTTCCCTTGTTCTTATCAGTTCCTGTTTGCTGAAATCAGTTTAGGAAATCATTTTACCTGCATACATACATACAGTTTTATATAAACTCGAAGTTTAGTCTATCAGCAATGTCCTTGTGTCTTTCACATGTATGAATTACTAATTACCACAGAATTAAAAGAGAACGTCCTCTTCAAAAAAAAGAAAGAACAAACAAACAAATAAGAAATACAGAAATAAAGTGACATAACCTTTTTTCTAGATATCGAAAGTTCTATCAATAATACATGTTCATTAAATACTAAGTAGTAACCCTTGCGTTTTATTTTGTTACATTATTCTCATTTCATCCTCGCAGATTTAATATCAAATACGGCCATGGCAAAGCAGGGATTTGGTCAAATGGCTGTATCAGCTTGCTTCGCAGGTCCTTTGTTAAGTATCCTTTCTGTGATGAGTGTGAATCGTTGTCAGTGTGTTGCTCTAGACGCGCAAACGCTTTCGAGCTTGGGAAATTTTTGTCAATGTTAGATTTTAATGAGTTCTTCACCCATCAAAGAATTATGAACCTGCAAAGATACCACTACAGAAGCACTAGAAGCGTTGGTGGTAAAAAGCGACCCTTGTATATTTTATGATTCGCTTACGCGTGAATGAAACGACCTCAACAGCTCCTCACTCTTACGACATGTGTAGTGGATTCAAAAGATTCTTAGTGAGTTGTCAACAGCGCATGCGGCTTTGGTATCCTACTAGACGCATTGGAACTCCTTCCCTGTGAAAACTTGTTCCTTGTCTACGGATTCAGTACATTTGCGCACACATTAATAAAATGGTATAGTCTCATCGGGGAAAATTTGAAGCAACATTGTAATACGTTTGAATATAAATGTTTCCTGATCATTTGTTTAGATATGTTACTAGGTATTGGTATACCATGTACTTACGTCACTGTAACAGATAGTCAACATCTGATACATGTAAGTACTTACTTTACTACTCCAATAACTTTAAGTGTCGGCCAGCAGTTGTGACATTCTGCATCATCGGTGTAACATTGCTCTCGTGCAAACCGTTTTACAAACCTCACTTTTCCCCAATTTTTCTCCATTGTGTCATTTTTTATAGTTACATCACCAAGATAACCAATACATAATCTCAGCTGCATTTCTAGCTGCCAGTCTCAGCTCGTCTGCCATCTGTATTCCTTTAATGGGATTCAGAGTGCCCCGGATGTATGGCGCGTATCTTTTAACACTGTATCTGGCCTATTTAGCAGTATCCGTGGCAACAGCTGTTCAACATGCTCATCATCAGTAACGGCAGATTATCATATTTCTTAGAGTGACAATTAAGGTGATTTTTTTTAATCGTACCACTTAAGATATTTTTGTATTCGAATTAAGGTCTCGGTAAAGTTTGGTTAATGAATTCTGTCTGACAGGAAAGTTTTTTTATCTAGGATAAACGCTTAAGTTTTTTGTCAAACGAGGAAATGACATATCATGATGGTAAAACCTCAAGGAACTATCTTGGAACTTCTGAAGTGGGCCATGTAAGTTAACGTTTAGGTTCTTCAAGTATTACAGTTAAGTATTTGTCAAAAAAAATATCTCGTGTCTAGAAAACTAAACATTTCACTAAATTTATGTCGGACGGCAGCCTTCAGGCTTGTCGTAGGACAAAAGGAATCGTTTTCACTCACTTGCTGATTTTTTCATTCAAATGCTTTACGTTTTAGGATCCAGAATCATAAAATTATTCAATCATTATTAAGGTTGTAATGAATTTTTAGAACTTTTTTTACCAAAAGGTACTGTAAATACTGGTATTTAAAATGGTAGGTGCAAAATTATATCAGTGAATCACTAATAAATGTCAAAAGAAAAGAATATGTATGTATGTTAACTACAGAAATGAGCACAGTTTTAGTGATCTCTTCGTGATCACCCAAGTGAGGTGGTCAACGTAATATGGTTAATGTGTGTAGTTTTTTTTTTTACAAATAATAGTTGTTAAAATGTCGAGATGATAAGCTTAAAGTTAGAATTTTTAATATGTATTCGAGAATTCAGAGGTCTCCAAATAAATTTTTATCAGTTTTTGACGAAATGTATATTTAAGTGATGATGTCTAAATGTAAGGAAAATTTTGAGTTGACTTATTAAGGGTGAACAAAGTCAGAGAAAGATGTCATTAAACAAATTATAATATTGATTAAATAACGTTCTTGAAGAAGACTTCGTCTCAAAGAAAAACTGTCCCCCTCCCCATAGCAATGGTCAACGATATCCACGACAAAAGGAAGACAATCAACGAAATGTCAAAACCGACACAGATTAAAACAAAGGTTCATCAAGTGTTTGATATTCTTGTATAATATATATTATTTAGCCATAATATATATTATTTAGCCAGGCGTAAAAGCGGAGCTCGCGTTATTTTGTTCCTGCACGTCTCAAGGGCACAACGCCTGGCCCCGGCCGGGACTAGAACCCGGGTCGTCCGACTCGGAGCCTAGTGCACTGACCACTGGCTTACTGGACAAAGCAGTGGCGTTGGCGTGCCTGCGGTACACTTGACCACGTACGTTAAAAGTAGCACCTTACAATGTCGCACGGTCATACATCTAAATTTTTTCGGCTTGATGGGTTACTACTATTTTGTATAATTATGGGGCTACGCTTTGCTAGCTCCGCTATTAGTGACCCTTCAGTCTTCTCTTTTTAACAAACTATAATTCTAAATTTGGTTCATCAGAGAGAGTGTCAGTGAAGCACATTTGGCGTTGGTTATAAGGAACAACAGACACCCCTGTTAATTTTTTCTCCCACTTACTCCTTGTTTTCTTTTTTACCTCTTTGATATTTAATGTTATAGGCTCCAAACGAATGATAAGATGGCTGAAAGGCAACCTTTCTACCAACATCTGTAATAAATACATTCAAACCTGTCATCAACAGCCACCAAACGAAAGATATCAACCTCGAGCTTAGGCAAGTGAAAACCTCCGGCGGGGGGCGGTAGCTCACCATAAGAGCCGGTGTGACAGATGGTAATATTAGGGATGAATATAGATCACAAAAGAGTTTTGGTCGTCAAACGAATTAAGATCTTTCGTTATCTGCTATGTAACTACCTAGTTTAAGTCCACGTTCATTCTTCATCTATTTATCGGCTCAACGATTTCGAGTTTCGTTGATCTCAGGAGTACGAAGTCACAGTTCATTAGTCACGTTTACAACAACTTGTAATTGCTTTTCTCTTTTTCCAACGCTGAACATACGTCACGTCATACAGAGGTGTTGCGAGACAGCTGGTGTTTGAAAAGCAACCCCTGACGATACCGAATTGCGTTACAGAGTTGCAGTTTTCCTTGGGGATAAGCAGTCGCGATGGAAGAGAACAATCCATTTACGTGAATACCGTCTGTGCCTGCCGGTCATAGCAACAGCAACAGAGGAAAATGAAATCACTCAATTGAATCCAATTTGAAAAGTTATAGAAGTTGTGCATCCAAACATTTAAAATTTTAGGTACTGCAAATTTCCCTTACGTACTTGTTTGTAATTTCTCCCCTTACAGCGGAGGCGGCTAGTTTGATCTGCTTCGTTGCTGCAGCTTTCTCGCACAAATCGTGAAAGCATGAAAAAAGTTCAAGAATTCAAAGAAAGCGTCGAAAAATCATTGAACTGTCAAACAATAATTTGTTGTGCGGCTTTTTTCACGAAGATCGTATCATCCTAATCCTCGTGTGATATCATTCTGCAGGCGAGGCAAGAAATGTGTTCCTACTCTAACTGTGAAAGCTTAACTTGTGTTATGCTCTCAAGAAAACGATAAATAGAGATTATTCCATGGAAAAAGCGCACGAACGATTTTCATTCATGAGTTTCGATGCATCGTAACGAAAGAATAAAAATCGTTCAATCACTTTCCATGATATGATTTTTTAATTTCATATCTACTGAGATTTTTCTTATTGACATACATTTCAAAGATGGCGTCCATTTATTTCAAGAGCAAATTTTATTCTAAACACCGCCTACAAATCCGCAACGTGGCGCGATACTCAGTAAGGCTGTTGACAACTGTACTTTCAATTTTGTTATTTGTGTACACACTAACTTGCCGACGGAGGGATTTTACTTTAAAAAGCGAGAACAAGATAATTAACATTTTTAAAATTCAATTTACGAATGACTTCGTGAATTTGCAAGTGCTTACAATTATGAAGTATGAAAACTTGCACAAAAAATGGAGCAACCTCTGTTTTAAAAATAACCAACGCGAAAATTTCATTTAAAAATTTAACATAAATCAAAATACGTTAGTTCTATGTGGCCATTTGATTTCCTTCAAAGAGAGGAAGTCTTTGCACTTTTTCTTCCATTTTGTTTAACAGAAAGCTGCGCTTGCCACCCTCCGCTGTGAAGTACCATTGTTCGTGTCTCCGATTGGACGAACGATGTATTTCACAGTCGTTCGCTTTTGCTTTGATTGTGTGTATTTCGTACTATTAAATAAAATTTAGCATCACAACTTGTTTGCGAACCATATCAGACACACGGAAGTCAAACCTAGTTATGTAAAGAGGATTGTTTGTCTGAGATCCATCCACGTGTTCTCCGTGCTTTCCGATTGATGACCTAATCTCAGCACGTTTTTTCGAGTATATTCTGTTTTAGGACATACAGGATGTTGCAAAGCTTTTTTACTGCCTTTGCCAACACACCATTTCAAATTCAAACGCTAAGCTTCTGCGAGAGCGTCAACGAACTCTTTTTCTATATAATAGAGCGCTTATCCAAGTGAGGAAATGATCCTCGCAGGTAATTTGTCCTTTCAGTAAGTGTGAAAAATGGGACGTGCTGAAGTGACGTGCTAAAACACGTGGCTTCGTAGCACTTTGGTCCAACCATTATCAAGGATGCAGAGGTTTTTTTTAAGTTTATTTTCTAAAAAATTGCTTAAATTGCAGCACGCTTTCGAGGATACTACTTGAATTTGATCAGCAGGTTAGCATATGACTTTTTCGTGAAGATTGTAAACTTCTGTCATAGCCCCAACACCGGAGGACACAAAATGTATCTCTTACTGAGAATCATGAGAGAAAATAAACTATTATGCTTTAATATTGTAGTTAAACCTTAACAATTTGGTCCCTTACCTGCATGGGGCATGTTTTGATTAATTATATAGGATGCCTGTGTGACAGCATACTGCTCATTTGGAATGTTTTCAGTGTTCAGACTGTTTCGGGCTTTACTTGTCAGTCGATAAGTGCCTGAGGAAAGCATTGAAGCATATTTGTGTAAAAGTATAGTATTACTGGATGACACATAAATAACAATCAGTCTCTCAGGTCAAGCAATGCATAATCTTGCAAGAAATTCTACGTCAGTAATTTTCCCCGATTTTTCGGTTTTGGCGTTCATTGCAGTTTGCAAATTTTCCGTTTTTAAGCATTTAATTTTCGTAAAAACACCAATGGGTTTTTGGATTTGGTATCCGATGTGGTTTTAGGCTTTCCCTATTTGCGCTCCGGTTTCTCTTGCATGTGAGCATTCTCCCCTTCAACAAGGAAAGTTTACCAATATCCATACCTTTGACTTTACGCTTGTTAAATATCTGAGGTATGTATTATCTGAAAGTTAACCACAAACTTTATATTGGCTGAACTTCTTCTTTATTACTGACGTTTTTTAATTAATCACAGCTTAAGGCATATTTGATATATATCTCTAGTCATTGTGACGTTGTTATTTATACTACATTCTGCAGTTTCTAAATGCTCATTCTCGTCTTTGCTCTCTCCTGAGACGATCTCGGCTGCTAACCACCTGTGCAGACTTCAATTATATCTAAGTGAGTTTGGCTTATAATTAACTATAGACATATATTTCTTCCTTTTATTCATTCCCTATGTGGAATGAAACTTAATCTTGTAGCTGTATGGGTTCCGTTGTTTTAAGAGAACTTTCCGTTCATATCGAAAAACAGTATCAAGGAAAGCTTTTGAATTATTGTTATAATTCCGTTCAGTATTTCACATATTTTTGATAAGCATTAAATGTAGATGATTTTATGCCAGTGTGAAGCCAACAAACTCTAAAATTCACAGCGCTTTTCCTTTCGATTGGAAGCTTTACACATCATGACTCAATTTTCAGCTAAATTACTTTGAATGGAGCCTTTTATCAGCTTTTTGAAGAAAACATTTATTTGCTATATTTTTTAATTTCTACGACAAAAACGAAGACATCACTCCAAAATGCATCTGAGATAGAGAGCACCGTAAGAAAATACAAATCTTTTCCTAGCCTTGAAATTGAACTTTTCAAATTTGCCTACCTCAAAACTTCATCAATCTATATAATTTATAACTTGTCTATAGTTCATTGCAAACAGAAAAGGTTGTGTCTATATCTGCTGCTTTAAAAGCGGACGATTGACGTCGGTTCATCAATATTGTCAATGGAGACATGGGGAGCAAAAAATGACGATTAACGATTTTTAAACATGTAATTTTTGCAGCATCGTGGCCATTATTTAATTGCTCTGTTAAGATTTTATACTCATATATATGACAAATTCAATTTCGAAGTTGGTCATTTAAAATTTTTCTTCCCTACGGTAGGCTGGGAAGATTTCTGCAGTTTACGATTTTACTTCATTTACCCAGGTAGGTAGGGTACATTGATATATTTCTTTCTTGGCCATATTTTTAAAGAGTGAGACTATGGCTTGGTACTTAATGTACCGGGATTTCTTTTCCCAATATATATATGCGTACACTTGAGACTAAACTTTGTGTCCGATTTCTTTTCTCCAATTAGGTTCCTTTTTCAGACGTCGTACAATATCAGTGAAGATTTCCAACAATAAAGATCTACGTGGCTGTTTTCTTGATGTGCATCATCTGCTTTTAGGCCCCACAAGTGAGTTAAGATTGGAAAAAAGGCACTATATAAATTAATGTTACGATTCGTCAGGAACAAATCAATTTTTGAGATGCTAGTATCCGATTGTTTCAGTCTAGTTTTTAATCGCGACTAGTGGTTGAGGTTTAAAGAGTCTTAAACAGATTTGAATAGTTTTCAACTCTTAAAAACATGTTGATTATACTTTTTTTATTTCCCCGCAGGTTCTAGGAGCTAGAATCAAGAAGGTATGAAGCAACCATATTTACAGAGTTCATTACTTCTTTGACTGAAATGGAGGAGAATAAAAGTTTTAGATACCGAGCTTCTCTACATTTAAACGCAATTTTTTAATTCAGTTTTCGATTAAATGATTTCCGCCTTACCTCTGATTTAGTTAGGAATTTAAGTGTTCAGAGAAAAGGGAAAAATTCGTTAACTGTTGTTTTACTATTTGTTTGTTTGTTTTTCCTGCTTATTTTTAGGTAAACATTGCAGCCTAGGTTTACCTGGTACATGTTTTGAACCCGCCGATCCTTGTAAAACAGCACACTGCCCAGCTGGATATAAATTTTTTCCATGTTTGGACTGTGCTAGCTTTGTTTGTAAATATTTATAGCTTCATGGCTGATGAGAAAACGATATAACATAACCGCCAATTTCTTTATACCTCAGTGCTTTGCACCTCAGTGGTAGACCATTTGATCACAAAAGCAGAAGCTTCAATCTTTACTGGGGCTAGGCTTTTGGTTTCTACTTTATCCCTGATACTAGTAGAGCAAACAAGAACATTTTATTTATTTATTTATTTATTTATTGTAACAATTTTATTTAAATAATAACATATAACATATTATTATTAAAAAAGGGTTATAGAAGGGAGGAACTCAATCTTCATCGTAAATCATACTCCAGAACATCTATCTCTATTCAACATCACAGAGCTCAAAATGTACCATATTGATTCTTTATAAATGGTTATGTCTTGCTATGGTGCTGTAGCTGACTTAAAACTCTGGTTTAAAACATGGTTTTTCAAAAGCTCTCTATTACCAACTTCCTGACTATTTTTATTGGTTCCTCCTTTACTGACAGAATTGTTCTTCTGTGCGTGGCATAAATAATTCATACCGCTGCCAGTTTGTCAAGTCACATCCAAGTCATAATGAAACATCTATACCCTACATGCAGATTGTTTACTGTTGGTTTTCAAGTGAAATTCGTCCTCTTGCCTACTGTTTACTTGTGAGTACTTTTACTTTTGCAGCACTATTGTAAATTATTATAACATTATCAGGGCATTGGCTAGCTCTCAGGGAAAATTTATTCTCAAGGCTGTAACTGGTTAGCATGTGCTATTATCTAAAATAATTTTTAAAGACAAAATAATTATTTAGTGAATATTGCAATTTTTATAACTTCTTTTTACTAGGGTATATGGCTGGTTTTTCTATTCATCACCCTCGGACTGACAGCAGATGACTAGTGAGTTGGAAAACTACTATCTTTAGGTTGTGTTATGTTGACCATTTCACTTCCAGCAGTCAGACCAAGACAAAATTTCCCCTAAGATATCAATACCAAGCAGACATTTAAGAGCCCATGACTGTAAATATCGAGAATCGTTGGCCAGGCTAAAAAAATCGAAAATTCTGATAATTTGCCTGGAAAACCCTTTTAGGGAGACATATTCAAAAAATTATTTTAAAGTTTGAAAAATCAAATGTGTCCGAGGAAATGGGGAAAAACGAAAATTCGGGTTTTTACCCAATTAATTATGCAAAAAATACAGTAAAATTGACCAACTTTAGTGTGCGAGTACTGAAGGAGGATGTTTGGTAAGAAATCGGGAGTGTTTTTACTTCAAAGTATAATTCATTTGATTTTTATTTGTGGCATTTTAAGGAGCTTTGGTTTAATTTTAAAATTCACATGATTTTTTAACAAAGTGCTGTCAAACGCTTGTTGCAAAAAGCGAAAAATTGAGCAACTTCAAGCCTTTAAAACGCGTCTTCAAAGTTTAGTCCTTATACTAACACAATATGAAATAAAAAAATCTGGGTAATTCAGAAACGTGCCGACAAAACATAAAGGTTTGCAACGCACTGTGGCCAGAGGTCACGAATTTGCATGATGCAAATCAGTTGTAGAAATCGTACCGCCCGACGGTTCTGATGTAGGAAAGGCTCTTTTGACGGCTATAACATGAAATTTACAAGAATAATGACCAGAATTTAATAGCGTTTAATTCGTTTTTTAAGCCAATGAGTGTTTAGTTTCATTTCTCGTAACTGTCTTGACGAAAAGCAAAATGTTTCAATTGCGTGACAATTGTCACGTTGGATCAAAGGTGAAGGTGCCGAGTAAAGTGGACACAATCCTTTTTTCGTCAAAACTCCATTCTAAAGCATCCAGTCCTATATATCTCGTTTTATATTACTTGTATAAATTCTAGTTTTATGGGTCTATATCGAACAACATGCAGCCGGCCTGATCCTGATCCAAGATATTTCAAAAGAAATATTACCGCAGTTGCAGAAAACGTAATTATTCAACTAAGAATGATGTCGATAATAAACCACTAGTCAACAAAAATGGTGAACTATACAGCAGCCCTTATCTATAGTTAGGTGTAGGTAGTGCTGTTGAAATAGCGAGTTGACAATAACAGTCTTCTGCAATTCAAATAAACAGAAAATTTCGTATCTACACATCAATTTACAGCCCTCTTCAGCAATGTCTGCGGATTTTTTATTCTATAATTTTATATCATTTCCATATCAAAGAGTTTTTTAACCATCTTTAACTATCTTGTTTACTTCGTAGCTCTCAAGTACGATTTCTACATCTGATTTGCATCATGCAAATTCTTGACCATGGCCACAGTGCGTTGCAAACTCTTTTATTTTGCCGGCCCTTTTCTGAATTACCCAGATTTTTTATTTCATATTATTTTCATATAAGGATCAAACTTTGTGCCAGCTTGTACTTTGATATGATTTCTCACATGCCAAGACGCGTTTTGAAGGCTTGAAGTTGCTCAATTTTTCGCTTTTTGCAACAAGCGTTTGACAGCACTTTGTTAAAAAATCATGTGAATTTTAAAATTAAACCAAAGCTCCTTAAAATGCCATAAATAAAAATCAAATGAATTATACTTTGAAGTAAAAACACTCCCGATTTCTTACCAAACATCCTCCTTCAGTACTCGCACACTAGAGTTGGTCAATTTTACTGTGTTTTTTGCATAATTAATAAGGTAAAAACCCAAATTTTCGTTTTTCCCCATTTTCTCGGAAACATTTGATTTTTCAAACTTCGGAATATTTGTTTTGAATATATCTCCCTAAAAGGGTTTTCCAGGCAAATTATCAGAATTTTTGTTTTTTTTAGCCTGGCTAACGATTCTCGATATTTACAGTCATGGGCTCTTAAGTAATGAGAATAAAGAAAAATATCAATTATGGGATTACCATAAATTTTTCACTTAATTCTCAGAACTTCAATTATAAGCAATTACAGACAGTAAGGAGAGAATTACTAAGTGGATCTTGAGAGTGAAAAGGTAAATTGTAGTGAAACTACAGTGGTCTTGAACTTGGTTGTAAGTTTGACATGGTGGTTGGGTTTCTGGTCTTGATGGCTTTCTGTGAAGAAATGCATTAAAATTTGTTTTACAATATTCTTTTCACATTCATATCTTTGTAATTATATTCATATCCTTGTCTGATGTTTAGTTGGAAGATGTGTTCAGTCAGGAGATATCCTCCAATGATTTTATAGATAAACTTTTTGTCTTTGAATAAACTTAATTTTGGGAAATTCATTGTACATGGACTGTTTCCCTTGCAGCCTCTGTCCATCTTTAACAGTGATTTCTAGAACTTTAGGAATCAACCAGAACATTGCCGTATCCTTTACTCAACCTTTATCTTTATCTCTCTCAAAATCAATCAAGCTCAAGCATGTAAGCCTGCATATACCACAGTATTAGTCAGAGTAGTATAAATGTACTGGTTGGATTTCTAATTGCTAGTTAAGGTTTGAAAAGCTGGTAGATTTAAAATGGCTAAAAACAGTTCAAGTTCTCAATGTGTTTCTCATTTTGTTCTCAATAAGTTGCCTGATAGTCACTTTGGGCCTCTCTCTCTCTTCAACTCTCAAATGATAGAAATCTCAAACTCATTATCTAAAGTGAAGTAGCTCTATGGAGGCTTTTTCTATCTTTTTTGGGGTTAAAGCTAGTAAATTAGCTTCTTTTTAACTACTCTTTACATGCCCAAAGGACTGGGAGAAGCCCAACCACTGGAGTTCACAATGAGTTTCCTTAACAAAGTTACACACTCCAGGGAGTTACATTCCTTGCTTTTGGCAATGGTGCGCCTGACATCTTTAGTTCTCTGGCAGGTTTCACTCAGAACGGAGATCAAAGTGGAGTACAGCTTGTGATACAAGCCCTCTTTGGTAAGCTGTACAAAATCTTTAGCACAAATCCAACCCAAGGATGACCCTTGATTTGAATATCCATAGGATATAATTTGCATCTAATTGATATGTGCGTCTTGTCTTGTAATTATGAAACATCTTATGAAAGTGTGTGTTGAAGTTTAAATGGATCTTTGGTCAAATTGATTTTTATCTAATAGACAGTTTTATACCTTTGTCTAGGCTGCACTATCAATGTCTTTACACAAGGAAAAAGTAAATTGAACAAGTGTTAAATAATATTAAAATCTGATTTAATTTTAAACTGCAGCATATGCAGCATACTATCCATTGTTTTGATCAACACCTTGAAAGGATACAAGAATCTACAGCTGTATTTTAAAGTCATGTAATGGTGCATACTTATGGTGCAGGTTTAATCCAAATACTGTTTTATCCAATCACGTATATTCAGTTGATACTGACTGTCACAAAAAAGGAAAAAAAATCTAGTCCCTTGGTGATAGTTGAAAACGTTTAATCTTTGAACAATATGAGTGAAGTCATGAGTAAAGTGAAAGGTATTCTTTTTTAAACTGAAAGATGAGAGTTTTCATTTGAAGCTCAATCAAATGTAAGTAAATCAGATCTAAAAGGAGACATTGAATTACATATTTGTAACTTTTTCTATTGATCTTATTCGTTCAGGTGCTGGTATTTTTGTAACAACAGTGGTTGTTGGGGTAATATCATTTATCTCAAAAGACCTTGCCCTGACAAACCGTCCTTTTATCAGGGACGTATTATTCTACTTGGGTGCTGTGTCATTGGCTTTTATTACCTTGCACAGGAAAAAAATTACAACGCCATTGGCAATAGGTAAAATATCTTTAACTTAAAGATATGGTGAAAGCTCCAAGATAGGTATTATAACTGAACATGAAATAACGATCATGTCATTTTTACTGCTTGTTTTATTGTCTTAAAAAGTTTTTTAAACCTTAAATCTGTTTTATCATAGGTGAAAACCTTTTTAGTTAAAAAGAAATTGTTCTAAACTGTCTAACCAAATTTATGGAAAATATTGATGTTAGCTGTATAATTCAAAAAGAAGGATTTTTATTGTGCTGGGATTTTTCAAGACTGTTGTACCTTAGGCACTGTAGTTCCTGTTTTTTCATTTATTCTTTGTGGCCAATTGCTTATGGTTATTTCAGCATCTTAAAGAAACTCTTGAACTAACAGCAATTAAACCCATTTTATCTACTTCTGCATCAGTTAAAAAAAGAAAATCATTATTAAGTTACATTTAATTTTGGAAATGCAAAGGAGTTATTCCGTGATACTGCCTAATCAATCATTGAAAATTAATTTGCAATGTGTTCACTCTCAAGATCTATTTGTTGATTCACTCCTCTGGCAACTACACATTTCCTCGTAAAATGGTTTTGAGAATATAGTGTTAGGATGATCAACTGAAGATAAAAACCTCCACCTGACAAGTTTGAGAATTCTTATCACCAGTTTTCTAGAAACTGTATGGATATTATGGGGAGAAGTTAGTTGATAATCACATCTAGGAGTAAAAGGGCTAAAAGAGATTTACTCAAGCTTCACTCATTTGTAATCTCTCCCTTATTAAAAAGGTTTCATAGCATTTTATGTTGTGTACATCGCTGTGGTTATTATTGCACGCTACATCTACCAGGGGTGGAAAAGGAAGGCAGTGAAAGTGGATATACAACCTGATTCAGAGATAGGTTTGTTTTCAACCTTTTTATCACCCATGGGAGTTAACAATCAAATTTAAATAATATATATTACAAGAGTGATTACATTATTGTTACATAAATACTACATATCTGATTGTATGTACCTTGTCTACTTTGCAAACACACCCCAAAAAACGTGGACGTACTCATTTAAATTGAAATTTTCTATTTTAATGAACAGCATCCAGCAGAGAATTTTTTGACATTAGCAACTTAGCAGGAGCAAGAAGACAATTGGGTGCTGGGGGAGATGCTAGTGAACACTCCAGCTGGGCTTCAAGTACTAATTCAGAAAATGTCCCCCGCAGAAACAACATTTCTCTTACATCTTATAGTATGAACTCAGGTACTGTCACAGTGAAAAAGTTACATGCAGCTCAGCCTTACAATAAAATTACCATTTTATTTTATCTTCTTTCTGAAATGTTCACAACCAAAAGATCATTGAAAGATCTGCTCATTGAATGCATAAAATCATAGCCCCCTCCATTGTAAGACTTGGTTTACCACTCGTGCAACCTTTGGAACTTTTTGTCTTTGTACTGTTTTTGTCAAGGGGATATCTCACAACAATCAATGCTCTGAGAGCTTCTGAGTTTAAGCTATAGTTTAGTGGTATACCCTATATGTACGAGCAAACGAAGAATTTCAATGTTTTTTATTTTTCACTTTGGACACTTCTCAGTCTTTCAGTTTCCTCCTTCACAACCGCTGGTGTCATTTATTGCATACCTTCAAAATGATATATACGTGGTCTAATTGTTCATCGTTCACATTTGAGAAAAATTTGGCATTTCCCACGGGCAGTAAAGGGGTTGAAGTTCCAACGATCATACACTGGTCAACTACACTTCCCTAACTTACCAGATGCTCAAGATAATGAACAGCATGATGTAAAGAGATTGAATCATGGTTCACTAATGTTAATAATTTTCTCCTTCAGAGGAAGATTTGACAACTGCTGTTGTCATTTATTGCATACCTCTGAAAATACCTTCAAAATGATATATACGTGGTCTAATTGTTCATCGTTCACATTTGAGAAAAATTTGGCATTTCCCACGGGCAGTAATGGGGTTGAAGTTCCAACGATCATACACTGGTCAACTACACTTCCTAACTTACCAGATGCTCAAGATAATAAACAGCATGATGTAAAGAGATTGAATCATGGTTCACTAATGTTAATAATTTTCTCCTTCAGAGGAAGATTTGACTCTTTTGGGAGGTAAACGGAAAATTAGTGCTCGGAGAAAATTTCTCCTTGGCCTGGTACCAATTGACCATGAAGACTGGAACAGGAGTAACTTTTTCAAGAAATGCTTTATGATTTTTAAGGTAAGAAATTTTTATCTGTAATGCTGTAACTGAGATTAAAATTTGACTCAATTTTTTGTATGGTCTCAAATGAGCATATAAAAAGCAAGAAACGGACAACCTTCCCTCTAACATATTATCATATGAATTCACTAGGCAAGCACTTATTTATTAAGTGAGATATTTTCTCGATGATTGTAGGCTCCTGCAGTATTTTGTTTGAATCTTACCATACCAGTGGTGGATTATGATGAAGAGGAGCATAATTGGAATAAATGGCTGAATGTTTTACATTGCTTAACGATGCCTGTGTTTGGTGTCGTGGCTACAAAGAGTAAGGATTTCTTATCTCACGATGTTGTCTCACGACAAGATCACTTATAAACGCAATGTTTCTTACTGCATAACTTCCCGTTAATGAGCAGCTATAACATCCTGGGGGAAATTTTCATCATGTGGCTCTCTGCCACCCCTCCCGACCTGTGAATTGAGGAAACTCTTAGGAGATGTATTGTCCCCACTGAACAGGTTTCTTCCACAAGATACAGACCCCTAGATAAGAAAAAGACAAAACCTAAAAAAAAAGAGACAAAAACAGAGCAAAATAAAACAAAAAAAAAAACTAGCGAGCAAAACAATTCCGTCATGTTTAACTCTCTCTTTGGAAAAAAATTGGTAATTTTCTTTTTTAAACAGAGGCTGTTTTACAGGATGAACAGGGCTGACGGGGAAACATTTTTTTAACACGGTGAAATTTTAATAATTAAAGAGATCTTTCGCGTATCAAAAACTGGAGGTTTGTTTCATTAATAAACATGCACTGATGAGATTTTTTTTAGTTCATAGTCATGATCATGACAAACTTCCTGCCTGGGCCCTGGCTCTCTGCGCTGGACTGGTTCTAGCTTTGATTGTTGCTATGACAACAAAGAGTGAAAAGAGGCCTCGGGGCCATTCGGTAAGAACTTCTAAATGTTGCTCAGGAAGGTATTTTTAGAGACATCTGCAAATCGTAATGTGAGCAAGCTGGGGCGTGGTTGTCACATCCTACCCAGGGAAGGGTTCTTAGTGGAACGGGTGTGGTGCATATCCAGATTAGTCCGAATTTCATGTTGAAGAACGCAGTTAAGACAGATCACATTTTTAAAGTCGTAAAGTTCAGGACTTTTTATTGATAAAGATCAAAAGTTTGGCAAGATTTCTTTGTGACCCATACTTTGTTATGCATACAATTGTTTGATAAAAGCAAAAAAAACAGCGAAAACAATGGCTTACCTCCGAGAGTAATGCTTTGTTTTAGAATAACACGGGGTCATACGGAAATCTTTCCAAATTTTTCATTAAACAATGTGTTGGAAGGATTTCCTCTCTTGATCGCATCTTAATCATCACTCCTGATCAGTAGATTCTGACAAAACGTTAATAAATCAGTTTCATTCTTCTCAGTTATAAATACAGCAATATAAGATTTAAAATTGATCACTTAATAGTCTTTTTACGTTCTTGAATCTCTCATCAGTTGTTTGCCTATCTGGCGTTTGCGGTTTCCGTGGTTTGGATTTACGTCACAGCAAATGAGATTGTCAACCTTCTCGAGGTATAGAAGACCTCTTGTTGTCAGTTATGATTGCGAATACTTTCTTCAGAAAATTACTTACAAATAGTACTTATCTTTGGCACAATTTCTGGCGCCCTATTTGACATTCCGATGTAAATCTTATGGGGCATTTTCTTTGGACCTCCGACTTTGATTTTGTTTCCATTCTTTGATCTGTAGATGTTCGGTATCGTGCTTTGTTTAGATGAAGGAATTCTTGGCCTTACTTTTCTTGCATGGGGAAACAGTTTAGGTGGTAAGTTTGGACTCTTCCCTTGTTCTTATCAGTTCCTGTTTGCTGAAGTCAGTTCAGGAAATCATTTTACCTGCATACATACATACAGTTTCATATAAGCTCGAAGTTTAGACTATCAGCAATATTCTTGCGTCTTTGACATGTATGTAGCTTCAATGCACATGTCGTGAAGGAATTAGGTAAGCCTCGAATTACTAATTACCACAGAATTAAAAGAGAACGTCCTCTTCTAAAAAAAAGAAGAAAAAACAAACAAATAAGTAATACAAAAATTAAGTGACATAATTTTTTTTCTAGATATCGAAAGTTCTACCAAAAAATACATGTTCATTAAATACTAAGTAGTGACCCTTGCGTTTTATTTTGTTACATTATTCTCATTTCATCTTCGCAGATTTAATATCAAATACGGCCATGGCAAAACAGGGATTTGGTCAAATGGCTGTATCAGCTTGCTTCGCAGGTCCTTTGTTAAGTATCCTTTCTGTGGGTGTGAATCGTTGTCAGTGTGTTGCTCTAGGCGCGCAAACGCTTTGTGAGCTAGGGAGATTTTGTTAATGTTAGCTTTTAATGAGCTCTTCACCCATCAAAAAATCATGAACTTGCAAAGATACCACTACAGAAGCACTAGAAGAAAAAAATGAGCGTTGGTGGTAAAAAGCAACCCTTGTATATTCTATGATTCGCTTACACGTGAATGAAATGACCTCAACAGCCCTCATTCTTGCGACATGTGTAGTGGATTCAAAAGTTTTTCAGTTAGTTGGCAATAGTGCATGCAGCTTTGGTATCCTTATAGACGCATTGGGACGCGAGCCCTGTGAAAGCTTGTTCCTTTCCTTGTTCCTTCCTCCTTCCGGATTCATTACATTTGCGCTCATATTAATAAAATGGTATCGTCTTATCGGGGAAAATTTGAAGCAACATAGTATTACATTTGAATATATGTGTTTCCTGATCATTTGTTTAGATATGTTACTAGGCATTGGTATATCATGTACTTTCGCCACTGTGAAATATGGAAATCCAATATCTGTAAGTATTTACTTTACTACTCCAATAACTTTAATTGTCGGCCAGCAGTTGCGACATTTTGTATCATCGGTGTAACATTGCTCTCGTGCAAACCGTTTTACAAACCTCACTTTTCCCAACCCCCCTCCCTAAACCCCTTTACCCCCCAATCAATATTATTAATCTAACAATGTTATGCGCTCTCACACCATAGGATTGAGGGAGGGAGGGGGAGGGGAATTACAGCTATTTTTGCTATTTACTCCTACCTCCTCCTTGGCCTGCAACGCTTAATCCTGACAGGATTTTCTCCATTATGTCATTTTCTATAGTTACAACACCAAGGTGACCAATACATAATCTCAGCTGCATTTCTAGCTGCCAGTCTCAGCTCGTCTGCCATCTGTATTCCTTTAATGGGATTCAGAGTACCCCGGATGTATGGCGCGTATCTTTTGACACTGTATCTGGCCTATTTAGCAGTATCCGTGGCAACAGCTCGTTAACATTAGTGACGGCAGATTATCATATTTCTTAGAGTGACAATTTAGGTGATTTTTTTTTAATCGTACCTCTTAAGATATTTTTGTGTTCGAATTTAGGGCTCGGGAAAGACATTTAGGGCTTCTAGGAAAGATTATTTTATCTAGAATAAACACTTAAGTTTTTTGTCAAACGAGGAAATGACATATCATGATGGTAAAACCTCAAGGAACTATCGTGGAACTTCTGAAGTGGGCTGTGTAAGTTAACGTTTAGGTTCTTCAAGTATTGCAGTAAAGTATTTTTCAAAAAAATTATCTCGTGTCGAGAAAACTAAACATTTCACTAAATTTGTGTCGGACGGCAGCCTTCAAACTTGTCGTAGGACTAAAGGAATCGTTTTCACTCACTTGCTGATTTTTTAATTCAAGTGCTTTTACGTTTTAGGATCTAGAATCGTAATATTATTCAATCATTATTTAGGTCGTAATTAATTTTTAGAACTTTTTTTTACCAAAAAGTATGTAAATACAGGTATTTAAAATGGCAGGTGCAAAATAATATCAGTGAATCACTAATAAATGTCAAAAGAAAAGAAGAATAAGTATGTATGTTAGCTGCAGAAATGAGCACAGCTTTAGTGATCTCTTCGTGATCACCCAAGTGAGGTGATCAGCTTAATATGGTAAATGTGTGTAGTTTTTTTTTTTACAGATAATAGTTGTTAAAATGTCGACATGATTAGCTTAAAGTTAGAATTTTTTAATATGTATTCGAGAATTCAGTTCTCCGAATAAATTTTTATCAGTTTTTGACGTAATGTATATTTCAGTGATAATGTATTTAAATGTAAATAATAAGGAAATTTTAGTTGACTTATTAAGGGTGAAAGTCAGAGAAAGATGTTATGAAGCAAATTATAATATTGACTCAATAACGTTCTTGAAGAAGATTTCGCCTCAAGGAAAAACCGTCCTCCCCCCACCATAGCAATGGTCAACGATATTAATGACAAAAGGAAGACGAGCAAATGTCAAAACGTCATAGTTTAAAACAAAGGTTCATCAAAAGATTGACATTCTTATCGATTAGTGAACCTCCAGTCTTCTCTTTTTAACAAACTATGATGCCAAATTTGGTTCATCAGAGGGAATGTCAGGTGAAGCACTGTGGCTTTGGTTATAAGGAACAACAGTTACCCCTGTCATTTTTTTCCTGCCGCCTGTCTGCCCCGCCCTTCTCCGCCCGTCACCACTGCCCGGTAGCTTTTCACAGATGTAGTTTAGTCTATGAGCCAACTGTCGCAACTAAAGGAAATATGTCAGAGATTTCTCAAAGGTTCCAGAGATTCCCTAGCGTTTGTTTTGTTGTAGCTTACTCCCAAGCATTCTGTTAGTGAAAGAGAGCGAGCGTGCAAGAGGTTCATGGGGGGTCTGGCACTAGAAATGATTGTTTCTGAATTGAAATCCTGTGGGCCCACCGCGTGCTTACATCACTCGCTGGCCCGAAACATATAGGCTCGTGCCGCAGCGCAAATTAGAGCCAGCTTGCAGGCGTGCAGTTGTTTGATAGAGCAAGGCTCATTAAAGCGTGGAAAGAAGGACGATGATAATTGCGTTACGCTACACTCCCTGTATTCAGTTTCCTCGTCTTATCTCACATCGATTTACCGGTCTCTCTGATTACTGAAACCCTAGAATTACGTTAAATAGTTTTGCCAATCTTTGCCATTGAAAATATCCTGCTTTGTCTGTTTAGTCGAAAAATAGAGGGGTGAAAACTTTCTTCTTTAACTTCCGTCATATTTTTCATTTTATTATTATTTTTTTGTCAATTATCATTTTCTTTTTCATTTCTTCGATATTTAATATTATAGGCTCCAAACGAATGATGAGGTGGCTGAAAGGCAACCTTTCTACCGACATCTGTAACAATCACATTCAAACCTGTCATCAACAGCCACCGAACGAAAGATATCAACCTCGAGCTTTGGCAAGTGAAAACCTTGGGGAGCGGGCGGTAGCTCATCATAAGAGCCGGTGTAACAAATGGTAATATTAGGGATGAAAATAGATCCTAAAAGAGTTTTGGTCGTCAAATGAATTGAGATCTTTCGTTCTCTACTATGTAACTACCGAGTTTAAATCCACGTTCATTCTTCATCTATTTATCGGCTCAATAATTTCGAGTTTCGTTGATCTCAGGAGTATGAAGTCACAGTTCTCTAGTCCGCACGTTTACAACAACTTAGCTTGTAATTACTTTATGTCCGTACTCACAATCGAGTTCTCTCATCTCAGAAAGAGAACATTAGATCGCGAAATCAGGTTATAAGAGGTCGAATCCTCGTAGAACACTCATTTTTTCTCTTTTTCCAACGCTAAGCATACGTCACGTTATACAGTGGTGTTGCGAGACAGCTGGTGTTTGAAAAGAAACCCCTGACGATACCGAATTGCCTTACAGAGTTGAGGTTTTCCTTGGGGCTAAGCAGTCGCGATGGAAGAGAACAATCCATTTACGTTAATACCGTGTGTGCCTGCCAGTCATAGCAACAGCACCAGAGGACGATGAAATCACTCAACTGAATCCAGTTCGTAAAATCATTGCACCCAGTTGAGCCATTTCTAAGGGACAACCCAGTTTTAGATGGATGGAGATCTGCTGACAGTGGAAGAATGGATCAAGAATATGGACGAGCTAAGCCGCAAATTGTTTCAAAACACTTTTCGGCGCGCACGACGGTAGTGCTGAAGGAGCGCATTGACATCTGCCTAGCAAACAACAGCACTTCTGCTGCAGTGAGAGTTTACACAAACCGTAGGTAAAATTCGAAGGCATGGTTAATCGACATAGCCGAATCAGATGATCCTCATAGGAGATTTGTAGCTAAAACGGATGACTTGGGAACTGATAAGTAATTTGGAAAGACGCTTTGCGGTGTCAATCAAAATCTAGCGAAACATAAACCACAACAATGGGGTTCTTTTTGATCCTTAATAATCTTGACCCACATCTTTTATTCAAGATAATCTCTTTTTCATGCTGATTCTATCCGTCTTTCTAAAACGTTTTGAACGTTTGAAAAACAAGTCTCTGGCGAACTCGTAAAGTTTTAAATCGAGTGAGTTCAAAGCTTTTATCTGACTTAACATAGAGCTGTTGAATTTGGGTGTTTTAGTCCCGGCGGTTGTCTCGCTTAGGTTGAACTGCGTAAACGGATCGTGGAATTTTAATCCAAATGTTTTCTCGAACAAGTATTGACTTTCCTCCTGATACTCTGTTAAGCCAAAGAATGCCATTTCCCGCAAATTACGCATGGCACTTTCTAACATAACTTTTCCTCGTTTTTCTGTTGAAATTCCTGTTGTGTTGTAACAATTCACCCGTCGTAAATCGGCCAGCATTCGTGTTTGACGATTGAAAGCAAGATTCCACGGGCAGCCTATAAATTCTTCGAACGTAATATCACTCAGGTTTTCCCTCTCGAAACACGGGGGAAGTTCTTCTTTGGTTGGGGATCGCCCATTACATCGAAGGGTTGCCCCTCTCCACATATCACCCTTTCTCAAGACGAAGTAAAATTCACTTACGAATCTCGAAACTGGTTCCCTTAAGATCGTTATATAGATAAACTTCCTCAACTTATTGCGGCCTTCGCGTTTGTTCATATATTTTGGAACACACTCTTTGTGCTCGGTCCAGTCAGCGTGGAGTCCACACGGCCAGCCCAAATGAAATCGAGAAAACAACCAAATGCGGCTAGAATCTGGTCGAAAACAATGGCATACTCGCGACCATCCTTTCTTTGGCAAACGGCGTGACTCCTTTGTACAAGCACATGGCCTTTCTATATCTAAGTCTTTGATGAGGTGATTACCAAAAATGGTTCCTCCAGTTTTCTGAATATGCAAGAAAACCATAACATCATTTCCTCGCATGTCAAATTTGTGTTCGCGCCACCCGGTTTTGCTCGGGTTTGTCCTGTTTAAAACGGCGACAGTGTTGCGACGAATAGGAACGACGGTGCTTCGCAGCATGACCCCCTTGAAAGTCAAAAACATCAAGGTCGTAAAGGAAACAAAAAGAACCGCCACGAAAATGTATTTTAAATTACAACCCAAACAGCTCAGAGACATCGTTATGAAACAAAGCTTGGTTTGAGTTTATAGTATCGAGTATTTACCACCGGAAAATCTCGTTTCTAAGCTCTGTCCGGTACAGGCCTGTCGACAATTCGCTACTAGCGACAGCAGTTTGTCGACGAACAGTCGAAATATCAGACAGCAATTAGCAGGATTTCTCTCATACTTGTAGTCACGCTAAAAATTGAAAGACGACATTTGAAACCTGTCAACGTTCCCACAGGATGCAAATGTCGATAAAAGCAACCAATGGTATTAATTATTTTGTCTTTGTCTGGAATGCCCTCCGGCTTACTTCACCTCGTGCTGTCAAAAAAACAAAAAAATATTTTAACTTTGTAGAGGTTCGTAAGTTCAATCTCGGCAGACTACCTGCTTCTAAGAGCATTGGCAGTTGATTTGTAGAAACAAGCATTTGTCAAGACTTATCAAATACGGTCTTAAATGCGAGTTGCTTCTTGGGCATCCTTCTTGTTGCTTTTTCTGAAAGTCTTTAACCTTCGTTTATAGGATAATCTACAATAAGTAACATACCAGCTTGCAAACCTTCCCCCATCTTTTTAAGGCGCTTGGAAGCCCTCCATTAAATTTTTACGCGTCCAACGACTCAGTTGTGGTAACCTTGAATCCACTCTCATATAGAGAATATGCATACTGATGCCAGGGAGGAAAGGGCTAACTGTAAATACGGTCCGACATGACTCCTCTAATCCCTGTGCGGAGTCAAGGTTCGTATAGGCGCGAGTAACGAGGGGTGAACAAGAGAAAGAGAACTAGGGAACTATCAACGAGCTGTAGGGCTCCTCCTTGATGAAAGTTTATCAACATTCGAGGAGAGGCGTGAAGGCTCTGAACATTCAGCCCCATTCATTTAGTCTTGGGTACGCGAGACATCCCTCGCCCTCGAGACAACTTAACCCAGCGTCGTAACACCTCGTTACAGCTTTCCCCACACCCGTCTGTCTCGTGCCGGCTGGGAGGTTACATATTGGGCAAAATTTGGGCCGGGCAGCGAGCCAAAGAGTATTTTATGAGAAAAAGCTGTCCTGCCTGAACGGGTTATCCTACCCAACCCAACGCGGCAAGAAAACATAGCCTCCCGAGTTGTCTGCACCACCGAGAAAACAAAACACACCAACAAAACAAACAAACAAACACACAAATAAAACAACAAAAGCAACAAAAAAGGGACTGGTGCAAACAGCTTAAAAAAAGCATTGCACCAAAGCTACAATATTGCACAAGTTATCTTTTTAATTCCTCAGTGATTCGTAATAGTGATATCCAATATAAATACTGCAAACATCGTATTTCCTTATAACGAGTTCCTATTCTAAAAAAGTTCACAATTCTTTAAATCTCAAATTCGCTTCGTATTAAGATCGCCAAGTTCAGTAGCGATGTATGAAGATGAGCGTGTCCATGGCAACAAAAGTCTCACGTTTTCACTTTTAGCGTTCTACATAACGACAGTAAAATCACGGTGGAACATTCCGCGTACCTCACACTCACACGGTGACTTTCTGTATTGCTATGATTCAAAGATGGCAACTAAAACATTCTCAAGGATATCTGCCAGCAGACAAAATGCAAGCAAACTTGACGTTTGACTCGAACACAGAGCAAGAAGCACGAAGCAATCACACGATACACGAGGACAGAAATGCTTTAAAAGAGAAGCGAAGCTAACGCCACCATGGCTCGTTGCAATGTTTGACTTTTTTCATTTATTTTTTTTTTTGGTATAATTTATTTATACTAATGTAGGACATCTCGTCACAAAGTCACTTATATTTTCCACCACGTCCACCATTGTCTCGACGACCACCTGCGCGTCCACTAGATCCAGACCCTGCACTTGCAGCGCCACCACCCGTCCCAAATCCTCCTCGGTTATTCGCACGAGACCCTCCACTTCCTCCACGGCCAGCTTGTCCACCACCACCACTTGCACCCCCGCGGGAGTTTCCACGGGCCCCACCGCCAGAACTACCGCGTGGACGGTTCGCGCCGCCACCGCCGCCGCCACCACCACCACGCCCAACTGATCCGCTGGGTTTCTTTTCTTCAATGTTGATTTCGTGGCTACCGATTTTGATTGGCTACAATAAACGAAAATAGGTGTATATTACATATTTCTTTAGTAACATATCAGTTTACAAAGAACTCGAATAGTCCATTGCAATTGAGACGTTACATCAAAACCAAACTAATCCCAACAGCGGAAAGTACCTCTGTCTAGAGCGGGGTCTGGGGCGACTTTCAATCTTGTATCTGATTGAATAATGGGGCAAGTTTTTACAGAAACTATGGTGCTGTGCCGGTGTAGGGGGATAAAATAAGATAGTTTGGTTTTGTAAACTGAGTTGATAATGCTAATAATCATATTAACTACGGTGTTATACAAGGATTTCCTAAGAAAAGCCGCACTAACACACGTGAAAAATATCGTTTTATTACGTGTGTTTGATATCGCTGAGAACGAAAATCGATAACTGGAAGATTTGCCACAGGCCGATTTTGCCCGTGTATCTGAAAGATTTCTTTTGTCGGTAAGGACCTAGTCAATAACTGAAAATTTTGTATATTGAAAACTACGGCCATTGTTTGTTTTTGTAGTGTTTCAACGCATTTTTTCATCTTGAGCCTTAGCACCAACGCACTTTACAATTTTTATTCAGCGATCATTGATCCTTTTATTTTCATTCATTGATAAAGTCGACTTTTTTTGTTACTAAAAGGCTATTGTGTTTATGTACATGGTACATGGTACATGGTTGCTTGTAGATATGAAATTTCTTTTCTCGTGTTCAACTCGTCATCTCACTCGTGAGCTATCGAGTTCAACACTCGAAGAGAAATTACATACCTATGCGTGCCCATGTATAATTCTCTATTTGGCCACCTTCAAGAGTTTCTACAGCTGACATTTAGAGCGTTAGCCCTTCGTTTAAGCGAACTCTTTATGGTCGCCAATTTACATTATCAAATCAGCTGATAAAACCAAATTGTCTTGTATCCGTAGGATGAGATGATTACTTATTAAGTTTTCTACACGGAGATTTTAAAAGCAAAGCCATTCCTCTCCCCCCTCCCCTCCCCCCTCGATTACTTTCGACCACTAACTTCAATCGAATTTAACAGGCGAGGTGGCAAGAAGAGGTCTGGATTTATGTCTTTAACATTGAGAATCATAAAAATAAAAATTTCAATCAATTTGTTGTTCAAAATAATGATGATGATGATGATGATGATGATGATAAAGTTAGAAGATGATGGGAAGGTCTGGCCAAAGGTTGGACAATAGGAGAGTGGAAAGTCCCCATGCGAGAGAGACCACCCTAAATATTAAACATTCAAATACAATCCACTCTAGTCTTATCAAAAGATTTCAAGATTTAAAAAACCTAAAGAAATTGTTTAAGCATGACCTTTATAGTTGTACCTGTTCACATTGATACTTACTCTGTTGATTAAAATTTGTTCCACTGGTTCAGAGCTGTTAAAAATCACAAATCCAAAGTTCTACAAATATAACACACAAGAAAACTTATTAGGACTGTTGGAAATAGTTTAAGTGAATCTTTGATTATTCTGGCTTCAATGATACCAAACAACCCAACAAACAAACAAACACAACAGAAGAAAACCACAGCCTACGTGTTACCGTACCCTCCCCCGATAGCGAAACGGAAGCCTCGCCTTCGTTTCTCCTTGGCGGGGGGAGGGTACGGCTTCATGTAAGCTAAAAAAACCATGGCCAACAGTAGCAGAAAAAATAATCTGTAGTAAGCTTAAAACGTGTATATTAATGAGGCGAGTACCTTAGGATTTAGCCTGATTTCCAATATGGTTCCATACTCTGGAAGAGAAAGATAGTGTGAAAAATAAATATACATGAATATATCATAATGCAAGGAGGGTCACAAACATCCAAGCATCTGACAGAATAAACAAGGATTAATGCAGGACTCAGATTTCCCGCCCCAAACTCAAGAAGAATGTTTTGAAACATCCCTCATTTGACATGGATGCATATAATTTGCAGCTTTACTGCTCTACATAGGACCTAGCAGAATGCAGCAGGCTTGTTTCATATGATCCTAATATAAGGCCTAGCTTGTAAAAAAAACTCTCTAAATGGCTGTCACTAATGCATCTGAATGCAAAAAAAGGAACTACCTTGGTTTCAAATCCTAAACTTTAACCTTTCCTATGTCGTGCAATTGAAATCTTTGTTTGTCTTACATCTTTCTTTCTGCACAAAGTAGAGTACAAATAGTGCGCAAATAGACTACAAATATCCTGTGATATTGTATGGTTATTTGGACAGTTGGTTATTTTATACTGTACAAAAACTTGTTTAACCAGTTGGCCACGCATGCTAAGCTTTTCTATCCACTTTGCTTTTCCTGCCCTAAGAGAAATGAACAGAAAGACTGAGCAGAAAAATAAGCAGTTGGATAATACCACTGGCATTAGACATTTTGGTGTGTAGTATCGCTGAGTATTTTTACTCATTGTTTGTATTGTGATTTGCCCTACAGGCTTTTCAAAATAAGGCACAATTCGTAAAAAATACTCAAAACTTCTAATAAGCTATATATATATATATATATATATATATATATATATATATATATATAAGTGAAAGAATCAAAGAGGACGCATCAATTCTCTAGCACCAACGGTTCTAGAGAATCAATGCGTGCATCCTCTTTGATTCTTTCACTTATATATACTCAGCTCTGCTACCACAGCATTGAGTACTTTATGCCAAGGTAGACTCTACCCCCCATTTATATGTGTGTATGTATGTGTATATATATATATATATATATATATATTTGTCCACATGTGCACTCACTAGAAAACACATTGCGCACTTCTTCATCCTTGACCCCTGCTGGCAAGTTTCCAATAAACACTTGATGATTATCTGGAGCATTGCGAGCCGTCAGCCTTGCATCTCTAGTGTTCATTCCCCCACGAGCATCCTTAGATGAGCGGGCAGGAGCAGGCTGGGGCCTTGGTGGTGGCTGTAAGACAGGCTGAGGAAGAGGCTGAAAAAAAAAAAAAAGGAATAATAAATTAACATGATGCAGTAGATACTTTCATGCCTGAAAATATTTAAGCACAACACAATTCAGGCTAATGATTTGACACTAAAACATATCCTTTGCATACCACAACATGTGTTGCCAATAGATTTCATCCTAAGATTTAGAGATACTGCTGCCATCAAGTTGGATGTACAAACACTTACTAACCTCTCCTCTCAATGTGGATTGTCATTTTTTTTCCCCAATATTTCTTTTTTTTAATGTTATTTACTTATCCATCTATTAATTTTCATCTAGTGCAATTTTATTGTTACCAACATTAAGAAGAGGGTTGTTGTTTGTCCAACTGAAGAACATACACTTATATACTGAACTTCTGTGAAAGTTGTTGCTTGATGCAGGCAGTATCCTCTAGTTGGTAGTTTCTTAGTTCCCCTTTTGCAAAATATCAAAATTGAGTGGAAGAATTGAACAGCAATGACCAGCACTTGCTGCTGGTTATGTTATCATTTTCAAGCTACCTGTTGAGCCTGACGCACTGGGCGTGAGTTTGTGGATGGAGCTGAGCTAGACTGAGCTGGTGGTGTGCGAGATGCTGCAAGAGCTGCCCAGGTCTTCGGCTTCTCTGGTACTGCAATCAAACCACAAGATAAAAAAAATAAATCATATCCAATGCTATGAATGCCTGCATAGAATTATTGACATAAAAATAAAAATGTTTCTCCTTAACTCCCATATGCAATCAATAAGGAACTTCACTGACCATTTCCAATCATACACCACCATTTCCAATCATACACCACCACCCCCCCCCAAACAAACAAAAAAAAGATGACAAGAATAGGCAACTTATCAGTCTGACAGTGTCAACTTGATAAAGCACCAAATTCTCTTTACTGTCTCAAGAAGTCAAAAAAAAGAGAGAAAGGAGAGTTACAAATCAGATCTTTGAATTTAAAGGGGTACATGAAAGTTATCAATGAACTCAGTTTCATTGCAATTTTACATTTCCATTCAAATTAGTTCAGAGAATTTGATGTTAAATCAAGATAACACTGTCTTGTAGACAAATTTGTCTTATCTCGTCACCTGTTTGTAGGTTAATGTAGAAACATTGTAAGAAGGAGTTAAATTTTAATCAGTTTGGGGAGTTTACTTATTAAGGCAACAGTAAAACATGTACCTGACTCAGCTGGTTCACCAGAAATATCCTCTAAAGGTGCCTCTGTTTCAGACCCTGGCCCCTCAAGCTCCTCCTCCTCCTCTTCAGCCTCTTCTGGCTCCTCATCATAAGGGGCGTCATTAAGATGTCCATCAGCAGACAGAGGCTCCTTCTCCTCCAAGGGCTGAATACCTGGTGTCTCTTTCACTGGCTCAAGGTGAGGAATCTGAAAAGATCACAACATTAAAGAACTTTGGGCAGCCAGGATATTGCTTTTATAAGTGAAAGCTTTAACCCTTTCAATCCTAGGAGTTATCAGAAAGGAATTTCTTCTTCTAGTATCAATATTTGTTCAAGCAAAAAAGTTGTGAAAAGTAAGAAAAATATCAACAAAGTGGTTTTGTTTTATTCAAAACTATATTCTCAGAGCTAAAATTGCAATAAATGAATTGTAGAGAATGCTCAAAATTGATGTTTACATCTTATGGGAGAATGGGTAAAGAGCTGGGAGTAACAGACTTCTTCGGCCTGAACCCGTAAGGTACCAGGTGATTCTGGAAATAACACAACTTTGCTAGGAAGACTTCCCCATCAATAATCAATTTATATTCTCAAATGAAAATTTTACAATCTGCTCTGTGGCTGTTACTGATCAACCATGACAAAAAATGTAACTATCCATCTACCTGGGGCTGTTTGTCGATGACAACTTCTTGCAGTTCTGAGGATTCTTCATCACCCTCATTATCATTTAGCAATGGATCTTGGTTCAGTAACCCTCCAGGGCTGAACAAATAAAAACAGAGAAAATTAATGACAATCAAAATTTCCTTATCTTAAATGTGCTTAATTCAAAGTCATAGAATGACATACCAACCCCTGTCAGGTCAAGTGTAATGGGACAGATGCAAAGTACATACAGCTGTATGTGCGTGTATAAACAAGAAAGGAAAACACGCTATTAACATTTATGAACTACTGTGTGGACTGATAGTAAAGCTACATCATTATTATCTAAAAGATTCTTTACATATATTACATTCTTTTCAAATATAACAGAGTGTCTTTCAGTCAAGCACACAGAGGCTAGGATGTACATTATTGTATGAATCGTGGTCTGAGAATATCTCACTCCAAGAATCAAATATATTTCAAAGATCAACATTGCCTTTTTCAAAGCTCAAGCTCTTTGTATGTTTTCATTTCCATGTTTTCAGGGCTAAATGAATTTCATTGCTTCTAACATAAAACATTTTATAACCAAGACAATGATTACCCATTGGATTGTCCCTGGTCTGTGTAATGTAAGTTGTCATTGGCCTTGTCCTGTGGCACATCCTGCTCCTGGTTAGGTTGGCTGTAGCTGTTGACATTGTTGCTCACTTGCCCTGGTTGAGGAACATCTTCTTCCCCCTCCGAATCTTCAACAAAAACCATCAGTAGTAACTAACACTTCATTTATTCAAGCTTCTTAGAAAGCCATCGCTTAAAACATTCAATACTCAACACTGCAATTATTTTGGTCATAATGGCCAGTAGAAAAAAATCTGGCTAATAAAATTTCAGAGACACTGGCAAATGGTTGCTTAAGACTTAAAAAAGTGAAACAATTGATATACTTCTCCTTACCAACAGTACCATCAGCTGGCTCATCACTTGTCTCCTCAGAAAACACCTCATCTTGATAGCGGAATATGTCATTATGGACATAATACTTTCTTGGTCCCTGGTCAAACAAAATTAACTTATGTTTGTGGGTGATATGTATAAATGGACAATAACCTTGATTTTACCCAAAAAATTCCCAGAGAGATATTTATTCATAGGTATTATCTGTTTCAAAAAGTAAATTGTTTACTTAGCTAGAAAAATATATTTATTTTTTTAATGTTCTGTCAGATGATTCTACATAAAGTAAAACTGAATAGGTTGAAAAATCCTCAGCAGTGAGTACAGTAGAACCTGCACTAAACCCTTTAACCTGTAAGAGTGACTAACATCTAACCACAGCCTTTTTTACGAAATCTAATTTCTCCTCACAACAACACCCCTCAATCAAACATTAAGGTCATGAGAATAAAGGAGATGATCACCAACTAAAGAAGCCCTTGATTTTTGAACAAATTCTCCCTGGTCAGGACCCTAGGAAATGTCTAGGGAGTAGTATGGAGAATATGCATACTGATGTTAGGGAGGAAAGAGTTAAGTGATCATCCACAAGGAACGGTGGGATGACTGCCTCATACAGGTTGACTGCTTAACCCTTTAGCTCCCAGATCAAATCTGTTATTCTCCTTATTGTCAACTATACAATTCTTATGATGTTAGTCCAGTATTGGATCAACTAACTATCCCCAAATTGATATTTTTCTTTATTCTTATCACTTATCAGGTTGATATTTTACTTAAATTAAGAGGAAAAATAGAAAAGTGATTGCTTCATACAGGGCAACTGCTTAACACACTGCTCCTGAATACAGGTTTGACTGTACTTACCTCGCCAGGAGCCAAAACAAAGGTCTGCATAAATCTTCTCATGGGCTGACCATGATTGGACAGTTCACCTGACACCTGCCACAGATCAAACAACAAATAATACAGTATAAGTGCTCTCCAAGAAATTGGATTCACCAATATACATGTACAGATAGTACATGCTTGAGAACATCACCACAGTCAGTAGAGATTTCACTCAATGAAAAGTTTTACATTTCCTTTCCATGACTACAAGAGACTGATAGACATTTGTAGTTTCTGTGATTTTAAACACTTCTCTACTAAACTACTGCATGTAACTTACAACCTACATCTGAACGTTTTAAAGAATTAATCAACTTCTTACAGCTTAGGTAAAGAAATGCCCCCCCAAAAAGGAATCACTGAGATACAAAATATATCTCTTAACAAGCAGACAAGTATAGTCTATTTAGCAGTTCCTACTAAAACTAAAAGGCATGCAGGGCATGAAATTAATTTTTTTTTCTGATAGCCACTTGGCTCCTAAATTCTTCAAAGTGGTAGCCAAGTGAAAAAAAGTTGGTCGCCATTTTCAAAGACAAACAAAACCTTTTAAGCCATCAGCATTCTAGATAGACCCTCCAAAATTAAGTTTGGGAAAAGATCTTTAACGTGCTACAAAGTGGACACTACAATGGATAATATACAACATTATAGCTCACTTAATTCCAAGATGGCGTCTAGTTATCAATCGAGATGCATCTGTTTAGTTTTGGAAACAAACTTAACGAGGAAGTTTGCAATGGATTTATCTCTGCAAATCTTTTTAATTCATTATATCTCTTGGTAAGGTTATGATGAAACATTCTAGTCACCAATTTGGCGACTAATTTCCAGGATTTGGTCGCCAAAGTGAAAAAGTTAGTTGCATTGGCGCCTATATTAGGCACAATTTCACGCCCTGGCATGTATCATAAGTAACTTAAACCACTAATAGACTGAGTTGGAGACATCCTCAAAATTTAATTGCTTTGCAGATTTAATTTGAACTTTACCTGCACCACTACCCCACCCCCAACAGTGGAGTGACTGTCCACTTGTCTTATCTTTGTGTGGCAGTCATTGAAATTGAGTTCTTTGATCTTGTTGTAAATTGCCTAAAAGAATATAAAAAAATAGCAAGATTTAACTTAACGATTCAGTTAAACTTAAGTCGCTTCTCTGAGTTTATATATTGATTGTTCTTTTTTTGTTTCACCCTTTAACTCTCAGAAGTGATTGATATGTAACTTCTCTTCATAATTTGCATATATCATCAAGCAAACAGGTATTGAGAATACTCAAACCTATCCAGTAGAGGTTATCTTGATCTAACATAAAATAATTGCAACTACTTTAAGATGAAATGTGTACCAGCTAAAGGGGAGAATTAACCATCACATTATGAGAGTTAACCTGTAAGCTCACTGGGCTCTTGATTTGGGCTCTATGCTCACAAAGCCTCTATCCCCACAAGTTTGAAATGGTTACCACCCATTTCAGAAGGAGATATAATAATCTTAGCTAATTCATACTAACAAAACTGAAACCTGAAGCTTATCATGAAACTTTAAAAAGCTCCGGAGGTAAGAGGCAGTAGACTTAGTCCAACACAGCACACATACCTCTTGGCCAACCACAGGGGGTTCATTTAGTCCATTCTCAGCCCTCCCATGAAGAAACCAGGATTGCTTTGTGTAAAACCTGGACAAAGAACATTCATAATACACAAAATTATTGTTACAGCCTCATTGAATACATGTTAGTATGTAGTGCACCTTTAGCTCAGTCTACATTTATTCTATGCACAGTTCAATATAACAGAGAATTTTGATATCAAGTTTATTTTCTCCCACCAACAGGTGAGTCTTTATCACATGACGGCTATACAGCCAAACTAAACAATTATCTTGCCATAAGCTACAAAGCTGGTGATTTTGATAATAATGATGGATATAAAGAAAGCAAAGTCACAAGATGGAACTCTGAAGTGGCAACTACTTTTCAGCACAACAATAACTCCACTGGAAAGAATGATCTTCTACACTATTGCACAACTTTGGCTATATGACTTCAATTATGAGTATCATCTACATTATACCTGTGAATCTGTACGGGCTCTTGATTGAGAAGGGTATAATACTGGCGCACAAACTCGCGGCCCACACACTGAGGGGATGGCACTGTCACCATCTTACTGAACTACAGTAAAAAAAGGAAGGTTCTCATCATATTACAAAGAAAGTTAGTATGATTTTGGTAACCCAGCAGAAACACTTCCCAAGTGAACAATTCTCTACCCAGCAAAACTTATGACATTATTAAACCCTTTAAATCCCAAGATCTGATTGTTGATTCTCCCTTCTAGTTGCTGCACAATTTCTGATCAATAAGTTATGAGAATTTGGTGTTAGATCAAGATAACAATTTCAACCTGATAAGTTTGAGTATTCTCATTACATGTTTACTGAATATTGTATGGATATTAAAGGGAGAGGTAACATGTTAATCCCTTCTAGGAATTAAAAGGTTAAAAAGTCAAGCCTTGTTCATCAAGGAATTAAAAGGTTAAAAAGTCAAGCCTTGTTCATCAAGGAATCCAAATTAAACGTGAACTGAAACCAGGCTTTCACACGTATCTCAGCTTTATAGAAAGGATTGAATTTCCACACAAACTGTTTTCCAAATTGTTTCTGCTAACTTGACCATTCACATTTTCAAGCTAATACAAAGAGGCACTATATTAAAGAGGCATATATTTTTTTGGTACAACTTAAGAGAGCAAAGGTTCTTGCATTGATTTAGGGCTCTCCTACTCTAGCTGTATTAGATAATTTATGGACAATGCAGTACCAGCCTTTCACTTTAGTTTGCTGAAATATTTAATACAAGAATTGTAACGAGTACAGAAGAGAGCAATGTCCATCATCTGCCCTGGTGTAAGCTATCATGAAACTCTTGTTATGAACTTTAAGGAACTAGCAACCCACTATGACAAAATATGTGAGACACTTTCTGATACAATTGTAAATGACAACAATCACTGCCGTTATAAGTTATTACCTACACCGCATGAAACTACTCATTGAGATGTGTGTGACCTTTTAAGATGCCACGTTTTATAACTGACTGTTTAAGGAATAGCTTTATTATCTCTTCATGGCTCAACGCAACTAATTTATAGTTTAGAGTTTTCGAATTTCACAGCTTGAATTGTAACTTTTTTAGCAGCTTATCTTCTGTAAGCTTTTTTTTTTGTCCTTTTATTTAAGATAGATTAGTTACTGATAAGATTTGTATTATTTAATTTTTGTCATATAAATATGTAATTCAGTTTTTGAACTGCTAGGTATTTATGAATAAACGAACTTCAAACTAAAGAATGTTCAGTTTCAGATATTCGTCCCTTCATTGACTTTGACCAAGTACCACCTTTTCAATGGTCCCAAGGATCTCCTTATCTGTGAACCGTAAAGCTACCTTGCAAAAGTATTCTCAGACTGCACTAATACTTTCAATATCAAAGCCATGATTACAAGAGTCCCTGTACGGTTAATTAACTCGATACGCAACACCTCTGACCCTAGCTGCCATATTTCATTTACAGTTCAAAATGGCCGCGAAAACTCGTTTTAGGTATGGAGGATTAACTATTTGCCGTTGAGACTGGGGCAGCGTGTAATATCAGGCTACTATGGGCTGGACGCTTACAAACGATTGAATCACAGATACACCGAATCACAAAGTAATTTTGGCACCAAGAAACATCTCTAAATTTCTCAGAGGTTTGCATTATTACCGTTAATTTCTTAAAGCACAATGAATTTCTATTGCATAGAGCCGCAATTACCTTAGAAGTCACGCATAACAACCGCTGATTTAGGATTTTCAACAGAAAAAATCGAGTTAGGACACAATCAAATGACACCTTTCGGACAAAAAGGGTCGGCTCAAAACGGAAATTGAACAGGTTTAAAAGATGGAATCGAGGCGGATATTTCAAAACCTGAAAATAAAGCACAAATTTGACGCCAAAATAGCAATTCAGCCGCAAATATTTCAATCAGAACACAATTAAAAGACCCTGCCCTGACTACAAGAAAGGCGCGATTTAACACACGCGCCGCTGAACTGAGGAAAGCTGCATGCAAACCGGGTTAACGAAAGATCCTCACCTTTGAAATTCCCTTTGATCAAAAGAACACAGTGTTGTTTGTCATTGCTTCCTTCCAAATGGTAAAATCAACCCGCTATTCCATTAAGCAGACGGTAAGTTTTCTTGTCTATCGAACGAAAATTGCGAGCTCTAACAGAATCACATGGGTGACATGCTCAGTTCGCAGTCCTGGCGCAACTAGCTCCCAGTCTCTTTGGGAGCCGATTGATTTCAAAGTGAGGCCACAGTCTCATTCAGGTGAAATTTCTGCTGCAACTATCTACCGCTTTGCTTAGATTGTTAAGATAAAAAAAAAATTGCAAAAAGTAGAATAAAAAATGCAAAGTCCCTGGGCGACTGTGCCTTGAAGATCGATTGGAAGGAAAAACCACAAAACCGTTATCTTGCTTATTTAAAACTATATAAGACACGTACTGTAACCATTCCAATTCATTCTGAGATTTAACGTTTACAAAACTGGCCCCAAAAAATGGCTACCTTTTTGTGACATAACAGTCTTACTCTTTTATCCCTCCCCTGATGCTATTTGATTTTAATACAAGTTGATTAAGGCTTCTGCTTTAGAACAAGGGAAAGCATGGTGCTTTTCATATGAAAATGAAACTCATTTTCGCAACATAATCTTTCTTCAAATATCAAAATATTAAAATTTTATTTCACCACAGTCTTGATCATCTTAAAGCTTGAAGTTTGTACTTTTGTGGCCTGTAAGCCCTGGGCAGTGGAGCTAGTAGAACAAGTAGAAGGCAACTTCAACTCCACCAGCTACAAAGGCTAGTTGTTTTGTAGTTGGCCTCATTTAGAAAGTGTGCATTCTTTAACTCAGAAATAACCTATTGGGGGTATACTAAAACTCAGTAAAAGGATGATTTTTTTACCATAACCAGCCTACCAGTTGTTTGTGGGCCAGCATTGTGGTTCTGTACTTGATGTGGCAAGTTAACTGGTTGTTCGACCTCCATTATGGCATATAATTGTTCTCATTTCTGTCACTTTGTAACATCAAAGTTTCAGTGTTGTATACAGTTCAAAAAGAAGAGAAATTTTATTAAAAAGGTAAACATTTCCAACACAACACAACACTATAGTAGTTGGCTAAAAAAAGTTTCCTTTTTTCAATAACATCTTATGAATCACTTTATTAGTTTTTCAGTAAATTGGAAAGTATATCAGATCACCCAAAAGTAGAAATGTAATGATTAATAATTCAGATAAATCATACACACCACAAAGAACCAGATTGAATATTAACACACTAATGCACTAGTCAATTCAAAGCTTAAACATACCCCCTCCCCACCTTTCCCATGCATTTGACTGTCATCCATGTCCAGGGGATGGAGAATTTCAACCTAGCCTGCTTGGGGTGAGGAATTTGAGCCAAAAGTGTCAAGTCTTTCCAGCCAAATATTTGTTGTGAATTCTGGTGTAATGATAATTTAAGATAAATAGTTCACTCTTGGCAGAAAATAGCAAGGTCTAGGTCTCAAGGCTCGGCCAATGTGAAAAAAGTCATAGTTTCTTATTTTGCATTTACAACAAAAATTAAGTGAGGCATTTAAACACAATTATTTTTCTGGGAAGCAGGAATTTGAACAAAACAGTCTTCAAAAGTTCAAATGCTAAGAGGTTACTAAAGGCAAGGGGGGAGGGGATGTAGAAGCTTCAAACATTTATCAATGCATAAGTAAACTCTAGACACAAAGCATGTTTAATACACTACTTAGTAAATACAAAATATAGGATCATAGAGATAATTTTCATAACCATGTTTGGAGGCCTAGTGAAGAGATAAAACTTTCCTATGTAGATAAACTGTTAATCCAAAACTAACACACTTTAAAACAAAGTCTGTATAATTCATGAAAACAAAGCACTGCATTCAAAACTTGAGATATGTTTCCTTCTGAAAAGTTTAATTTACCACATTCTGTTGCAGTTTACATGAAAGAGTGCATGGAATTTGAAAATTTATGTCATTAGTCATAAAATAATTCACATTGCTGTCTTTAAATACTTCACGTTGCTGCCCTGCGATGGTACTCTGGTGTGGCAGTCTCATAGTCTGTGGTAAACAAACTATCTGCTTTCTTTGACAGATAGTCTAGGAAGTCTTGAATGTGCGTAACCACAAATTGAACACTTTTTTCATCCAAGTTGGAAAAAGACAAGGCATTCCCTAACTTCACGAAAAGTCTAAGCAAGTGTTCTGCACCATATAAATGAGACATGGGAAGATTTGTGTGTTCAGCAAGAATATCGCCATACTGAGTCCTTTCAAACTTATAGAGCAACTGTGTTCCAAGCATAACATTAAAATACTCCTGAATACCATCTGCAACCTCTTGAACAACTCCTGGCTTGAACCCTTCATCGGGATTAGCAGTTCGTGATTTTATGTATTCATCCAAAATTTCTTTAATATTCTTTTTCCTTGGAATAGGGACAAGCTGTTTTTGCCGAGTAACAAGATCCCAGTCATCTATGAGCCATTGTTTGAGATCATCTGGAATAGTTATTTTTACATCAACACGTGATATGTAGTTTTCATCACTTTCTATTGGATTAACTATCCTTGATCTCTTTTTCCGTGCTGGCCCAGGGGCATCTACAACTGACTCGCGTTTCAAAGGTTTCTCACTGTCCCCTCCTTGTTTATCTGTTCTCTTTCTTGATTTCTTGCTTTTTCTGCCAAAAGAAAACAGTTTTCTAAGTCAGAGTCTTAACTTAAAACTTCATTATGATAGAAGTTAAAATAAAAAAATAAATTGAAGATAAATGTGAATTTTCACATTCACATTAGAGCTCAAAGTTCAACACTTTTAGATGCCATCATCTAGCCACCCAAAAAAACTTAAAATGTTTGCTCAAAGTCAATTTCTCTTTTGAGGGAAAAAAATGAAACAAAATACAGATGAAAAAAATGCAGTGTCAGAGTATTAATTAATGTCTGTTATTCACCAGCCAGGAGGTCTATATAGTGAAAATTTGTGCCCTATGTCTTAGATACTGCCCAATGCTGAAGGCAATACTCAAGACAGAGGTGATGGTTTTCCCCAATATGAACGAACCTAAGCTGGTGAGTAACACTTTCTTCATTTGTTCTTTAACTAACATAATGCTTGCAAAAAGAACCCTTTAACTTAGGACCTTAAACAATAAGTGACAAAAAATGTTACAGCTTTCTGCACAACCACTAGATACAAGTCACTGGTCTGATAACCATGTGTGAAACTTTTGCCACTAAAATTTTTACAACTTGCCACAGCAACCAAAATGGTCACAGCCTGGAATGCTCTTGATAAGGATCTCTGAACAAAATCATTTGTAAACCAAAGACCCAAGCAGCACCCTAATGTCATACAGTGCAGAGCAATATTTCAATAAAAAAAACCGTACAAATAAAAACTATCATTCACCACTAAATTGTTCAAAATTTTTTCTTTGGAGTGAAATAGGTAGCACAATAACTGTGTGTGCCCTGTGGGTAGAATGAAAATGATTTTTGCTTGATTACTATGTGAGGCTCTTCACAACTTTGCACCACACTGTTCTTCTTTCACAGCCCGTATTCAACTGCTGTGTAAAATTTGCAAACAACTCTCTTTCATGAGCATATATGTCTAGACTTTTTGGTTACTTGGCAAAGCTGCTACTGATTTTAACTTTTTCCAAATAAAAGAATTTAAATCAAAGGACCAGTGATAAACTTTTATCTTCGAATAACAGATACTTGTACAACCAATTGTTTCTGAGTCTGAGCACAACTTCACAATATTTTTTAAAGAATGTTCTGGAAATAGAAAGGTTAAAGCCTAATATGCAATGCAAAGAGGTTTCAATTTACGTCAATAATGGAACCTAAGTGCTTGGAGGAAAAAATATGCAGTCACAGCTTTTGAAATAAGATATAAAATAAAAATTCAGTCTGTACAGGTTTACCAGCCATTCATTTGTCAGTTTATCCCAACATTTTACAGGTGTAAATTCAAATACTTCACTTAGTTGATATTGGATATTTTGAGACAGCCACAGTAAATATTTTGTTGAAAAATCCCAGCCAATAACCAAAACCCAAACGGGCTTGTTTTGTTTCTATACAGGGGCACATAGCTATGGCTATTTTCATCACCTCACCAGGCAAGAGACAAAGCCATTACAACCATGATGGTACAAGTAAATAAGAAAGACACTTCAAATTCTACAAGCAGTCACTGAGAATCGAGTTATTAATGGCTTTTTTCAAAGCTGTGCCAATTAACTTCAATCCCATTCACAGTTCTTCATAGAGATTTTACCACAATAATAACAAAAACAGACAAACAAGAACTTTCATATTAAATCACATTTAACATTTGGTTAGGGTTGTTCTACATTTCTCTTTCAAAAACACTCTCATGATTACAAAATATCGACAAATTACTGTAGAACCCCTCAAACAGTGTGTTATCTTCATATTGAAAATTTGATGCTGACATGTGCTTCTCTCCAGACATTTCCAAAAACAATATCATTTGGATAAAATGTTCATCATTAATAGCAATGTGGAAAAAAAAGATATTACTTGGCAAGAATTAGTTAAGCTTTCCCTGACTCTTCTTGGTTCTGCATCCAATATTGACAGCAATGCCTTTGTTTTGTGTATTGTATTCAAACAATAACTACAGTACTGTTTTGTTTGATTGGTGAGGAAAGGTGGGATTGATACCATGCAATAAACCATAAAATTGCATCTACAGGGAAGACAACATATCTCCTGGTTCCTTTCCAATTCCATTAACTTCATGCACCACTTTTGAAAAGAATTCCTCCCATCAAGTTTACAATCACATCTTATGCAACAGATTTCCACTGTTGAATTGCATGTACCTTGCTTTGACAGCTAAATAGCTACTGAGAAAAACCCCTCAAAGTGATTTGGAATAATCAAAATAATATTATTGGGATTAGACACAATGAATGAGGCTTAGTAAAACTTATTGTTTTGCATCGTTCTGGTCTTGCATTATCTTAGTTTTCCAAGACAGCACAGCTTTTAAAGCATTGTATTGATCCAACTAACTCCGATCCCTTGATAAACATTTACTTATGAAACTTGATGACAGTAGAATTTATCCTGTTACAGCCAATTCCATGGACACGATATATCCAAATTTGTACTATTTCTGTCTATGAGCTAGTTTTGCTGCTAGCAAATATAAACTCAAGCTAGCTCAATCATTAGGTTGTGTTTGTAATTTGCTAAAAATAAAAACAAAAAAAATTCTTAACTCCATCACGAAAATGAATAATTGGTGAATTTCACTTTAGACTTAAGAGAAGCACAATTAACAACAGCCACGTATACGTTTCAATTAAGCCGCACATCTGTGAAAAAGAAAGAGAAAGGTTTCTTGCATCAACTACAGCGCACGTGGTTAGCAGAACCGGAGACTGATGAGACTGATCTACGAACTTCGAACACAGGTTATCGGTTTTTTTCGCGAAGATACGATTAAAGTTCTTCGGAGACTGCAAAAAGACTTACAAGTTTTGTTCTCTGAGCTCCCTCTGTTTTTGAAGATTAGCCTCGTTAAATTTGAGCACCCGATTTTCCGGTACCCACTCGTCCCAATTTTTGTTCCAACCATTGTAATGAATGAGATATCTTGTCACTTTATCCTTCATCTGCCCTTTCATACACTTTGCTTCGTATATCAAAGGACCGTGGTAGCATAGAATACGTTCTCCTTCGCCAAATTTCAATTTAGGAGGCATTTCTAAAGTGTAATTTGCTGACTCGCACGAAAAGTTACCACAGGCTTCGAAAGCGAGTTCACGATCTCTTAAAAAACGTGGTACAATAGTCAAAAACCATTATATCATGATGTGTGATTGGTCCAATTTATTACGATTTGTCTAAAAATGACCAATCAAAATGAATTTCATTTCTTTCATTTATTTTCCCGCCGTTCACTTCGCACTTCCTGTCGCAACTAGCGAATGGCGGTGAGCGGATCCTGGATTTCCTTCCGAAAATTTGTTGTGTTGTGTTTGGTGCTTACGATACTTCTGCTATCCACTAATATTTTTTTGAGCTTCGATGATGATGAAACCTTCTTTGATGAAGGTGGAGAGGTGATCCAATCATGGAGTGTGGACGCTGTTGGAATCAAGGAAACGGAAGATAAAATATTCAATTTTCTAGAGGTGGATGAAAATTGGAATGAACGATATTCTGAAGGTGGGCATATCGCAGACTGTACAAATCTCATGTTTCGTCCAACGATGATTTTCAAATACTTATACGTAGTGGGACTACCGTCAGCGTCAGCACTTCCGGCCTCATTGTATGCACGATTTTTGCTCAGTCCTGCATGACGGAACGATGAGCCCTGATAACATGCTAAATTATTGTTTGTTTCTTTTGAAAGAGGAAAGGATGGCGGTGGTGGGAATTGGGGAAACTGATGTCCATTCAGAATTTTGGATGAATAAATGCGGAATTTCCTGGCATTTCAGCTCGATTGAATATCAGTCTAGGAATTTCAGCCAAGTTACCAAAATTAACAAGGAGCTACTTTTCTAGTTAATTCTGGTTATTAAGCTCAATTGTCCATAGGGAATATTTCCCCCCTATTATGGAGATCTTGATGAACAGATCCCACCTTTCACATAGTACCTGGTAATGAGGGGAGTTCCTGAAAACTGAGCCAGCCAAATTGATCTGCTTCAGAGAAAGTCCAGAATACATACCTGTCAGGTGCATTAACTAACTGGGCTGGTTCAGTACCATGGAAGTCAGACCGTAACAGTAACTAGTTATTTTACCTTATTTAATCCAATGCAGTTTGTCTTGTTTATTTCACTTGCATTATCTTTCAGAAGAAGTTTACTATGATAGCATTGACCACACCTTGAAAAACCTGCGCAAGCCTGCAGCATATGCAGCCAAGTACAAATTGCCCATAATTATCTGGTGGACCTCTTTTACACATGGAAATGATATCAAGAGATGTAAACTTGGGGAGTGCTATTTCACAGAGGCACGCAAATTTAAAACACATCCAAGAACCCAGGCTTTTCTGTTCTATGGTACATATTTCACTCCAACAGACCTTCCATTGCCAAGGCTTGGTAAGACCTTTTTTTCGCTATTACTTACCACTATTTGTCAGGAAATTTAGTCATATATATGATCTGTAGTTCTAAAGTGCATGCAATACATACAGTTTTAAGGGATCAGTTACCTTTCTTTACATGCTTTTACCCTTAGAGGCAATCAGTGGTTTCAGACTTTGTTAGGTAATGAGAATGAAGGTGACATGATTATGGACTAACAACAGCCACAAATTTTTTTAGCATGCCCTGCCTTGCATAACCTGCACATTGTGACAAAAACTGAAAAATAAAATAAGAGTATGGCCTGCCTGGAAAAACTGGTGTTTCTACACAGTCTAACTCATATATCTTTCTGATTATCAGGACACCATGAATGGGGCCTGTTCCATGAAGAATCCCCAAAAAACAATCCCCTTCTCCACCATGATACTACCATTGAACTTTTTAACCACACTGCTACATTTCGGAGATCATCAGATTACCCATTAATCACTCAAATGCTGTCATCTATACCTGAATTATTGAAGAAGCCAAGGTTTGACATCCATGAGAAGAGCACTTATGATCTTGCATCAGTTGTGTATGTCCAGAGTGGATGTAATCCACCCTCTGACAGAGATGAATTTGTGGCAGAGCTAATGAAATTTATAAAAATAGACTCCTATGGGGCCTGCTTGCACAATAAAGATCTTCCAGAAGCATTTAAGAGTCCTTTAACCATGGATGATGATGGTTTCCATGATATTATTGCAAAGTATAAGTTTACATTGGCCTTTGAGAATGCAATTTGTGAAGACTACATAACTGAAAAACTCTGGAGACCTCTTGTCTTAGGGTCTGTGCCAATTTATAAAGGATCACCAAGCATCCAGGACTGGATGCCAAATAATCACACTATTATAAATGTGGATGATTTCAAAAGTCCAAAGGATCTAGCTAATTTCATTAAAAAGCTGGATAAAAATGATAAAGAATATGCCAAGTACTTAGCATTTAAAGATCAAGGAATTACTAATGAGAGACTATTATCGTTCATGAAAAACCGACCATGGGGGACATCCTATGAGGAACAGAACTATGTTACAGGGTTTGAGTGTTTTGTTTGTGATAGAATTCATGAAAATTTAAAGCGCAAAGCCGCAGGTCAAGTGGAAAACAAGTATTTTGCCTCTCAAGAACATTATGGCTGCCCAAGACCAGAAAAGTACAATTTTGCTCATTCATCTAACCATGATAGCGATGGTCAGAGAGATCTTTGGTGGCAGGAGTATGATCAAAGTGTGAGAGATTCACAGAAACTGAACCACCATGTTAAATCTAACTGGTACTTTTAAACTTTTTATAGCATAATCATAGACATCCCTATCAATCTGAGGAGTGTTTAGCACAAAATTGCTCTTTACTGCAGTGAAGGTAATGGGCAAACCAAGGAGTTAAAATGCTTCTTTGAAATGTGATTCACACAGCCATTTTGCATACCTCTCGGTTAACATAGGAAATGTTTGAGAGTCTGCCAAAAGTCATGTTCTTGGACAACAATAGAAAACAACTGTTACAGTTCCAGTTAAAAAAGACATTTCTTGTTTCACAACCTTTGCCTTCAAAAGTGACTTCTAATCCAAGGTATAAGATAAAATACAATGGAAAGTAAGTCAAAATGTGATATATGCCAACTCCCCCAGTTTTACTGGAATCTTCTGGATGAAGAACAAATTTCTCATATCTCCTGTAGTGTGCTCAATCTCTCAGTTACATGTAAATGAGTACTTCTCATTACAATATCAATCCAATAACAAGTGGAAAAGTGATAAGAAGAAGAGGTTTATCAGATGATCCAGTACCAAATTCTCTGAGCTATCGTGATATGAATTGTATGGCAGATAGTAAGGAGAATTTCTTAGGAGATTTTGGGAGTGAAAGGTTTAAAAGGAATGGGGTACAGGTGAATCAGATGGTCCATGAGGCAAACATCTCCAGATTTCACATTGATGGCAGAACCCCCTTACAGGTGGTAACCAAACCCATCTTCACATTTCCCAAGATTGGAATTTTTTAAAAGTGACATTTTTTCACCCTTAGCACTAAATCATTCTACACTATTGAATGTGACAATGTGCTGTACTCTCAAAACTATATTTGTTTCTACAATATCTATACAGACTGCTTAGAGTAATCACATGTCATTCCCACAAAATTATTCCATCAGCTAGCACAAGAAATTATGTATCCTTATGTGGTCTTTTTTTTTTGGGTTGAAACTTTGGTAGAATCAAAATCTTTTCTTGTTTTACATAATTTTGGTATGCATGCTAATGCAAGAATATGATTTATGCTAATACATTTACTTGTACCCATACAGCTTAAATCTCCACCAATGACAACAAGTCCATTATTTGGTTGTGGATTGTGAATGGAAAGTGGTACTGCTTCACCCCTCCACTGCCTCTTTGATGTATTCACTACATCACTCAATTTGCAGTTTGTGTCTACATGACTTACTCAGTACATTGAAAGTTAGAGAGTACCAGTCAAATTCCTGGCGATGGAGATGTAAAATATCCTGGCCTATAAAACTCAAAACAAGTTTGAATTCTGAAAAAATAAGTTGATTTGCATTAGCACAGGACTTCTCAGTGCAGCGAAAGGGTAAAAAATAACTTCTGTTGTTGACTTAAAGGATGCACTTGGAAGTTGTCTTTAACTAATAATTCAATACCTGCTACAAGTAAATGATAAATAGTCTGATCAGATAAAGAGTAAAAAAAAAAATCATTTTTTTTTTGTGTTAAATGTGACAGGTTTTTATGCAAACCTTAGCATACATGTACACTATAGGTAAAAACAATTTCAAAAATACAGTCAAAATAAAATCATCAATAACAATTTGGTTAAAACTTAACTATTAGATATCTCATAATAATTTATTTGCAATTCTCTAACTGACTAAGGCTAGAGCACTCCCTGAATAGCCCACAAGTAACAGTAACCATTATAGCTGAGAAATAAACAATAAGTACTAAACGCAGCTTTGTTAAAACTGATGGGTAAGTACATATAGAGTATAAACATATTTAATTTATACAGTAACCTTTTGTTTTTGTTTTTGTTTTTGTTTTTTTTTTTCCATTTTTACCTTTTTTTTTTTAAGATGGAGGTCAGTTCAGCCTGTTACAATTAAGACAGTGTCAAATTAACTTGCAATAATTAACAATTATTCACCAAAGTGGAGGTAATTAGTGGTTGATATTTGTCATGCTGCAAAGTGGTGGGGTATATATCCAACATTTTTGAAAAATATTGAGGTAAAACATTATTTTGAATTAGTGCAAATTGCTAGCAAATGAAAAGTTACTTTTCTTCGCTTTTGACAAATGCTAGGAAAAATTTTAAAATCCAACACCATGCCCAGAACAGAAATTTGTATATGTTGTTGGTATAATGCTCTCCAATTTTTGAAGAGATGGCATTGTATAATTATTAATTTAAAAAATTTCAGGATGGAAAGATCAATTGACAAAGTTTCCTATGTGTATAGTGAAACAAAATAGAAAGCTATTTTGTTTCTTGAAGGCTGCTCTCATGCTGCCACATGTATGAGACAATATATTCTTTTCATCCTCTCCTTCACAATTGGAAATTTCATGCCAATTGCTTGAGAGCCTTCTGATCAAAGTTTTTAACCAAATTCAATTCTTCTACAGTCCAAACATATAACACAGTAATAGCTCTCAAATTTGAATTTGAAATGCCTTCAGGTTTCAAGCACATCCAGCATAAGCCTTAAGTTTAAATGTAACACCTTGTTAGCTATTTATTTTCAGGAATGTCCTGCTACGCAAAATACTTGTTAAATAAATATAAGCAAACAAAAAAAAAACATTAACATCCTAAAAAATTTATGTTTAAAATGAATGTTGTTAATTTCTCTTTTGAAAGAGCAATGTACAATGTATGAAACATATAAAAATACAATGCGATACAAGACTGTCTACACCAATAGCACAAAACTGGGTAAGTGTGAGGGGGACATCATCTCTAGTCTATTCCTTACCCTGAGCTCCCATACCAGTAGTTGTTTGACCTTCCCCCCCTTCCCATAATTCTAATGTCATATAATCTAAGATTGTGGTGGTTCCATTTACAATTCTACATGCAATGTACGCAGCATTTGTGCAAAATTGAGAGGAACTGTTCACAATCTAAAGTATTGATGCATGAAAGCTAATACTACATTTTGGTAACATAAAAACAGAGTATGATAAATGCATCTCATGGTTCTATAAACTGCACAGATGTATCAAACTAGTAACTGTGTTTTGTTTATTTACACTAAATAACATAAGTCTATACTTCTTCTACACTATGTGCATCGTCATCTCCAATATCATCTTCCTTGTCCATTTCTTTCTCTTCCTGATCTTTTTTTCCCTCCACTTCATCACCACTTTTCTCACCCACCACATGAGATGTTGTGGCATCATTGGATTTACCGACATGCACACGTGAAGGGACACCATCTGAAACTGACTGATGCTGCACAGGGACTGCCACTGAGTTTGACGGCATCTATGAACAAGAAAAAGGATAGAAGATGCCTCAAAATCAATCATCCCTCAAAATCCTCTTTACAGCAGCAACACTGGAAGGGTAATTTAGAGGAATGTATCCCAGTTTCTGTGGCAGAGAGGAAAGTAGATTAGCTACTATTCCACAATGGGAAGAGTTTTCTAATAAAAACTTTGTTGCCAGCCATAAATATTCCACAATGTAGAGAGACTCTGTGAGAGGTAATCCTTTTCATCCTGATAGCAGTGTCTGTATTTGAATATGAGCTAGCAAGCCAACTGGGAGCTGGTCCCAGCTCCCAATTGGCTAGGGCAGTTGGTAGAACACTGCACAGGTATTGCAGAGGTCATGGGTTCAAATCCTGTACAGGCCTGATTTTTTTTCAGGCCTTATTTTTGCTGCTGCTCAAGTAGTGTTCATCACTGCAAAGATCACTTTCATATTCACGTCTTTATCTGCAGCCCACATATATGATTTTCATATATTCACAGTCAAGTATCAATATTCTCCATACTGTTTTACCTACATTTCCTAAAGAGCTGACAAGGAGAATTTGTCAGGAATTTCTTTGGTCAGTGATCATTTCCTTAATTCTCATAACCTTAATGTGTGATTCAAGGACAATATTATATGGATAAATTAAATGTTAGTGACTCTTTGGATTCAAAGGGTCAATTGTCTATTCCAAGAACACTTCACAATAAACACAGTCAAGGCTTGAACCCAGCTACAATATCTTCCATTACCACTAAAGAACTTACAATATGTTTCCCCTTTTGAAAATTGGTATCACACACCAACAAAATAAGTTAAACAATGTTCATTAGCAACAATGTATTATTTTTTTCATCAACACCATGTGCTAATTTGAACATGAATCTTCTCACTTTTGCTCTAGAGAATACAGCTGCTTGCAATTGTTTCTCAAGCTGGAGAATCCTAACATCTTTTTTCAGGTTTTCCTTCTCCAATCTTTGCAATTGGACCTCTAGTCTGGAAAGTTCATTTTCCTAAGAAAAAACAATTGCAGATTTCAGTTTACTGATAACAACATTTTAGACTACGCCGAAAAAAAGATATTCACAACAAGTTACCATAAATACTTTTTATCGATCAAACAACAGAAAAATACCACAAGAAAGATATAAATGAAGATCTGTTAACCTTAATGCTTTGAAGCTCAGCTTCCAGTTCAGCTATGCGAGAGATTTTGCTTAAATGTTCTTGCTGAAGTATGAGAATATGTTGCTTTAATGTAAGGATTTCTTGATTTGTGTCATGGTGCTGCTGTGAACAGAAAATTTGCAGTTGAATGAGATCTTAACCACCATCTGATCTCTCAAATTATCATTAAAATGCAAAATAAATGTTTTTATTGCTCCAATCTTTACTTACTTGATTTACACGCATCTTTGATGCTGAAAACTTTGCCTCTGTTCTCCATGATGGAGACAGGGGCTGTCCTATACTGCTCTTTGGCCCTGGACAGACTCTAATTGATTGTGAATTTAATCCAGGCACCTTGGGTGGAGCCCCTCTGGCATTAGTATGTGTAGGAGATTGAAGAGTTAATCCTGGTACAGATAATGGTGTATTAAGTGGCGTACTGGGTGTGCTTTGTCCACTACTTGAGGAACCATTACTATTTGCCCAACTGGCACTAGTTTGATGACTACCGGGGTGTTCTCCAGCTGATGAGGTCCAAAGCACAATTTCTGGTGAACTTGAATTGTTATGGGGGTTTACCACATCTACATTACTTCCTGTGGATATAACATTTTGCCCAACATCAACTGTTACCACATCTGTACTTGGATGGTTGAGGTTAGGTCCATCAGAACTGAGAGACTCTACCATTGTTGGCCGATCACTTTCTTTCCATCTCTGAGGCACACAAAGAATAAGGATAAAATAAAACTACTATTAGAAGGAAAATAGCACATCATAGAAATGCTAGTTCTTTTTTTTAATGTTATAATTCCACATCCAACAAATACCTCCTTGTCTCAGAATAACATTCCTTTTCAGCTTTCTCATCTCAGCCAATCACCATGAAGGAATTTTTACCCAACCAAGGGTTAATTACATTTTATAAACTTGCTTGTCATTCCCATGATGCATTTTATGTGTAGGAATTGAGAAGGAATGCACCAATTATTTGACACAGGAGCCAACTAAAGAGGGGAGGGGGTGGGGAGATTCAAATGACTGAAGCATAAATGTACATCAATTCATCAGCCTTGTCCGCCTTGGTTAAAATATCCTAGTGACCTTACCTGTGTTTGATCGATGGAATCGTCTTCGGCAAGCCGTCTTCTTTTAGGGTCATGTGGAGATCTGTGTAAAGAAGGATCTGTGACATTCCCACTTCCATGGCTACCCGAGAAAGAAACTTCAGCAACATCAGGCACATCGGCATACACTGTAACTTTGCACATCGCGTAGCAATTCCGACGCTTCCCCGTACAGTTGGCCCTAGGAGTGCATCCATACCTTTTGCCGGGACAATACAAACATTCGCTCACAAGAAGGTATCTTTCAGTACGTTTCCCTCTAGTCGGAGGCTGTATGCCTTCCCTCAATCTACAGCCAAGCCGTCCGGTTACTGAAGGACGCTCTGGCCGGCCAGAAACAGTTTCCATAATAGCACCTCCACCGTAGTTTAGCCTCTCAAAGTTCCAGCTGATTTGCTTGGCGAAAAACTGCGGAAGTTCTCCAACAGGAACTTTTATAGGCTCCCCCCATTCAGGTAAAGCACAATTGCGGCACATGGCAGGGAAGATTCAGCCTAAAAACCTCTAAAACACGAGAAAACTCACATCGGAAATGGTAATTTACGACAGACACCAGTGTCACTTTAAAGACGCCATGTTCCTTGTGAAAGGAAACCGCTGGGCTTTATGTTGCGGGAGCGGGTGGTGCACGTTTTGCCTACTGTGGAGGGGGTGGGGGATATCAGACTTCATATTCTTTCTTTTTTTCTTATTTTTAAATTTTTTATTTTTTATTTTATTTTCTCTGATTGTTGTTTTTATTTATTTCCTTTCTTATTTACCAATTTATTTTTCAAAGACTTAAGTTGAATTCTCAAGAAGCAGCAGAGAACAAAAGGTTTTCTGACCGTACCTGTTAATTTGTTTAGGACTCCAGGCTGAACCTCACTGGTCCTCGAAATGGGCTATTGCTTTAGTCAAGTATTACATAGATAGATCTTATATAAAAGTATGTTATATATATTGTGGCAAAATGATTATCTTTTAATTTGTTGCTGTTGTTACTGCTGTTGTTGTCGAAATCTTAAATAACTTCACCGCTGATGATTAACACACCTTCACGGGCAATGGTTTGGACTATCCCGAAACAAACGTAAAAACGGGGTAACGAAATACGGTGGGGGTCCCTGACGAGCTCTTATCTTCTCTTATGACTGAGGGTCTGGAAGAGGCATCCGGCATAACTTAAAAATTCACTATTCCAAATAATTTCTCTCGCTACTGCTTTCCGCAATTTTATCACGAGAACTGTTTCAGCCCTTGTCCTCTTTCATTACGCATTCGTTTTCTGAAATGCAGAAGCTCTAATGGATCAAAATTTGGTATTCGTGAAAAATTCTTTGAACGCAGATTCCACACCTTACACCGCAGAATTGAGGAGACAATCTAAAGTTCCGGTGCCGCCTAGATGGGAAAAAAATCCCCTTATTTGCGAACCAATCAAGTCACTGGACTTCGAATCATTCGGTAGTGTCACATTTCGGACACTGACACAACAACCAAGTAGCAGACGTTGCTGGTAAGATATCGTCAAGAGTTTCCTCTGGATTTCTGACGATTTTGCGTCTTCCCTTTTCTTAGCTCTTGCATTGAAGGTTTTTTTCTAACGAACATGAAGTTGTTGTGGACTGTGGCTCTTGTGATCTTCGTCCTCTTCGTGGTAGAGGCAAAAAAGGTGAGATTCTATGTCGTGCAGTTGCTTGTGATCCTCAAAGACAGTTATTATCTCCTTTAGTAAGCATCAAGCATTCATATTCATCCTTATATCGCTAACTTCTCGAAAAGATCTCAAAGTTTCAAATTTTATTTGAACATAGCGGATGGTTGGCTCACGTCGCACTATTCCAGAAGCAAGTAGAACCTCATGACAATCGAAATTGTCCTCAACGTGGCAATTTTGACATCGGTCGTAAAGGCGTCCCTAATACCTTCGATGCCTCCGCTTATGACAGATCAAGATTTTCTCCAAGTGAATTATATTGTAGTTTTCAGACTTGCGGTTCATTTGAAAGCGATCGATAATGGAAATATATTTGTTGAAAGAATACTAATCAATTTTGCAGACAGCGACGTTTTTAGTCCGCTGTCCTGTGTCGAGATGTGATATTATTTCAATTGTTTTTTGCGGAGGTGATCCTTGCTCTCCGAATTCCAGTGCTTCCATCGGTGGAATAACTTTGCCTTCCCGAATTTTTAAAGCCACATTTGGCCAAAACTGTTTTCATGTTGCTCTTAGGTTAAATAAGTTATTTGGGGATGTTCCAAAAAGTGTCAATGTTTCAAACAATGTGTCTTTGTTTACGAGGAACAAGACAAATAACAGAGGGAGTCAAGGGTCGATTATTTTACTTGTGAATGCGCGATGTTCGATTGTACGACCATAGTCAACCCAGGCTCTGTGTTTTTCTCAAGATACTGTGGCAATACAGGGTTTCTGTTGGGTTAAATTGAGGTCTGGAAATTTGTAAAAAACACTAGTGAGAATCAATGAAATTCACTATGTGGTTACCTATGGTTGCATTTATGGTTGATGCATCAATTTTTATCTATGAGGAATTATGGGTAATGGAAGAGAACCATGGTATGTTTCATCAATTTCTTGGACAATTTCTTACCACTTTTCAGACCTGAACTTTGCACTGTAAAAACAATGTTACCATATTTGATAATTATTCATAAATTTTGGACAACAGGACAGGATTCAAGAACTGAAAAAGTGGGCTCATTGGAATCAGATAAAGAAGGCTGTTCTACAGGAACGCTTGCCAACGGCCCGTAAGTTTTTTAAAAGACTGACATTGACTAGCTCAAGGGGAAAATGTAAGAATTAATCTATAGATGAAATGGGCGTTTGGTAATCACCAAAGTGATATATCTCTGAAAAAAATAGGAAACAAAAGGTTGCATTTTTTCCAAGAGTGGATGAGAGAGAACAGTAAATAGAAGTATCCATTTTGTTTTTAGTAGGATTAGATGTGGATCCTGTCTAGCCTTAAACACATCAGCATAGTACTAAAAAATATCACTAACAATGAAAATGAATGACTGTGAATATATGAAAATCATAGATGTGACCTGCAAACAAAAAAAGAATATGAAAGTGATCTTTGTGGCAACTGCTTAAGTAAAGTCCACTATATTAGAGAAAAAATAAAAAAGAAACCCTTCATTTCCACTATTGGGCAGCCTGTGTAAGAGATGGTTTGATCCTTTAACTCCCAAAAGTGATGAACACATACCTTCTCCCTTTAATATCTAAACATTATCTGGCAAATAGGTCATGAGAATACTCAAACTTATCAGGCACAAGTTGCCATCTTGATCTAACACTAAATTCTCATAACTTTTTTAAAAGAAAATATGTAACAGTTACAGGAAAGACTTAACATTCAGATCTTGGTAGTTAAAGGTTTAATCCAAATTTTGACTTTTAGTATTATGTGTTTACAGTGTATTTTGTATTGTTATTTTGAAACTGTGATTTCTATCTTGATAAGGAACACTTAATTACCCAGCTTATCATGATGATAACTGTCTTTTCATATATGTTCTTCAGCTGACACAGAAAACTGCACAGCTTTGCCAGACCGTCTGTTGGATTGGTTCCATGTCTTGCGTGCAATGCACATCAGGGAGGAGCAGAAGAAGAATGGTGATTTTGAATCACAAAGGCCTGGAGAGGCAATTCCACACTTGAAACTGAGGGAAGCAAAGATGCCTTTTCCATCAGGTGTGCAACCAGATAATGAACTTAGATCTGGTCATTTTATATTTCCACTGTGATTTCTCTTCTGTGTTTTTTTAATAATTTTGTGGATTGTCTTCATGCATTGTTTTTCTAGTGGGTAAGTTAGCATGAGAATTAAGTTGCCTTGTTGATAGGAAATTTTTTAAACCAAAAAGAGAAGAAAACTTTTTTCTGGTATTCAACTGTGCTTGCCTTTAAATTTTATTATCATTCAAATTCTTGTAGCTACAGCTGTCTTTGTTTCTGTTGAGGGATTACCTCCAAATGTTTGTGAATGTCACCTCCTATTTTTTCCATTGGAAATGCAGATAAGCTATTCCTAATTTTGTGATTGAATATATGTGTCTTTTTCAATATGTTAAGGCTCTGATCAAAGTGTCATCCGAGAGCCAATTAGTTCTGTGTTCCGTCTTGTGTTGGATAAAAACCATGATGGTGTGTTGGATGAGTCTGAACTGGAAGTCATTTACGACATTGCAACAGAGCCTTGCATAAAAAAGTTCTTCAAGAATTGTGCCAATGAGAAGGAGACCTTTACTGAAGCTGAGTTTTGCAGTTGTTTCATATCTGTTGGTAAATGGAGATTTTCTCTGGATTTTTAATAAATAAAGGGAGTAGAAGTATTGGTACCAGAAAGTAACTCTGAGCATATTTATATGCTAGATGGGAATTATTTTGTGCATACTGCTATGTTTTGAAAATAATAATTTGGATTAATTATAAGTTGATGATTATTAGTTGTGGCCCAGGTGCAGTAACAAGTCTAGAACAAATTACATGTAAAAAAATTATAAATTTGAAAAAAAAAAACTATTTATGCCAAAGCATCAGAAGAAAGTCAAGAATATAACTAAAGACAAGTCATTCTTGATTGCCCTTACTGTTTCATGCATCAAATGTTTAAATGTTCAAATCAGTCTACATTGTTTTTTAGAACCACCATGCTTGCACAGGCTGCGTAAACACCTACCAGCTCTTCTCATCAGAGGAGAAGCACATGTCCTGCCTGGTGTTTACACTCCCTCTTGTGACGAAGATGGCTTTTATTTGCCTCGTCAATGCAGAGCTGCAGACCGTCAGGGAATAAAGGAATGTTGGTGTGTGGACCGACATGGCAGCAAAATTGAAGGTGTTTCAGATTGTGGTGGGTATTCTGAGATGTGTGTCTGGTTGTATGGTTGGAGGTTTCATAATTTTCTTTTTCCATATGGTCATGAAGCACTCAGCTATGAGCAGTTAGTAACATGGGGGAATGTGCTGATAAATCATCTCCTTAATGCTACAGGACATTTTTTTGTTTATTGTTTTAAATTTATCCAGTTTTCACCTAGTAAGAGCACAGTAAATTGCCTTGTATAGTTTACTAAGTTTGCAATAATTTGCACTTAAGAAAAATATCTCTGTTATTTTTTACACCAGCATTCCAAAGGACATTAACTTACAATTCTTTCAGTTTGAATTATGTTGTCTAGAGCCAAAAACATGTTAATTCGATTTTAGCTCAGCAGGGAAAGTTTTTTAGGTGTACTGATTTTTGCCAACTCATCAAACAGATATCAGGGATGGGATTCTTCAACTATGAAATCCCACATCACCATCTCAACACTTTAGGTTTTTTTTATCTTTTAAAATTGCCAGAAAAGGAATCACATACAACCAAGGAAATCCATTGACATTTTCACATACAAAATGTGAATTATTCAACATTATTCAATCAGGAAATTGTAAGAATATGCTTATAGTGAATAATATTTTTATCTTTTTCAGTGGATAACACAGAACCGACTAAGAGAGAAGAATAGAGGAGAAGCCACTTATGAATCAGTCACCTTAGATTCTATCGTGCTGAGTATTCTTGGTCTTTTAATGTTTTAGCATTGATTGCATAGACACCAGTTTAAGTTACTGCAGCAAACTGTGAAATGTTATAACCTTAAAATTTTTTTACCTTTGTTTGCTCAGAATATTTGAATTGAGATAGAAGATAAATGTAACCGAAAATAATTTTGATATATTTTTCTTAACTAATTTTGTATTAAATCATTGTAAAGTAAGGCAAAGTGTTAAGTAGTGGGGTTGGTTTAGTGCAGCATGCACTATGGGTTTGTTGAGAGTATTTTTCACTTCTTAATAAAATTAACAAACTGTCTCTGGAAAGGGAATTTTGTGTAGTCTTTTGACACTCTCAGTAGTTCTTTTTCCCAAATTTTATGTACATTGCAAGGAGGTGTTTGACAAGCTAAAACCCTTATTCATTTAGAAGGGTATTGCTTGTGGCACATTGAATCTAATAATTGCCTAGAGCCCACCATCTAGATCACTACAGCTCAGTTGCAAAGCATTGTTGTAGAAATCTGAAGGTCCAGGGTTTGATCGATCATGCGTGGCTCTGTACTTAATTTATATCAACCTCCTCAGAACGACGATAAACGACTTTCTTTAGTTCATGACAAAGCTCATCTTTCTTGAAAAAGATAAAGATAATTGGAGTTGGAGATGTTCCAGAAACTTTTAATAAGATGCCTCTTGGTTATCAGCTGAGTTCTCCTTCACTTCTGGGTCATCCCCCCTCCCCCTTCAAGAAACTAGCCTGAGAAACTTCTGCCATAATGGATGATGTTTCCAAAATCTTCAGTTCACTACAACTTTCTTGAACGTGTTTGGAAATTCAGTTAGCGGTCACAGCCACGTAGAACCACTCATTATTGCGTAAATGTAGGTTAAACGTAGGAATGGCATGGGTAAAATTTCCGAATGTGCTGAATGGGCGCACCCTAAAATTCGCAGAGTTATTTTCACGTGGAATTTCCGGTTTGGAATTGTGGCCCAGCATGACGTCACGACTTTTTTCGCAGCTACTATTTATAGAGAAGAGTCCTCGGGCTCTAACGAACCGACGACGGTATGGCGGTTAATCACATTGCTTTGCCTTGCCTTTTTCTTGCGCTTCTTGTAAGTTCAATTGCATATTTTTTCGCGCTGGAAATATTTGTTTCATGTTTTTCGTAACTGCTGATTCTCTCCACGTCTTTCCTAATAGGTTATTGGCGTGAAGAGCCGGGAAGATTTCGATGAAAGTTCTTCAGGTATCGATTACTTTCATGCAAGTCATAATTGAAAGCTTCAGCACAGCTTATATGACACAGAAGACAAAATTTGTCTTCGCTAGCGCTTTTTAAAGTTCTTTCGTAAGTGTGGTGTAGTCTGAAATGCGAAAGTTGATTGGTTGTTGTCAAGGCGTGCTTGAAGCAGTTGGTTTCTTCCGTTTGCCTTCTGCGTCTCACAAAACATCTGTGCTGAAGTTCTCAAGTAGAATATAAATTTTATGAATGTTGTAGGTTGTCAAAAATCGGTTGAAATGTCGTAGCTTAGATTGACAAAGAGTGAGACAGGGGAAGGATAAAATGTCAATGTCTAAATATAGCACATGACAAAAGACGCTACAATATTGAAAGTTGGCTGATTCATTCGTAGAATTTGGTTTGCTTACAAATTTATCATCGTACCTTCTTTCATATGCCGTGTTGACTAGCCAACTTTGCAACTGTGTTTTTAACTGTCACAACTAGCCAGCGGGGAATATTATAGGGCATTTTACAAAAGCTGTGATAACTATCGTTATCAATCGATTGTCGCCCATCGAATAAAATTAATTGAACGTTTCTGATTGTATTGCGATTAGAAGAGAACGTATATGTATGGTACAACTTTGAAATCCTCTCCGACCTTCTTGTTCATATTACAAGCCAGTCGATGCGGATTCAATCTCAGCTGAAGGGAGACCATGACCATTTTTCTGTTTGACATCATATTCATATAATAGTAAAAATGTGCGTAAATTGTTGTAAGGGAAGTAGAAAGCGATTCTTGGAAATTAACACTACCCTGGAATAAATTAATTAATGCGGTCCTTAATTAAGTGATGCAGCATCGAAAACTTTCAATATCCAATAAAATTGTGGCAAATATGCCATAGATGAGGGAAACCAACTTTGCTGGCCAAATTACAGAAAACAGGGCTACTTTTAACCATCCATTAAACAAGACAACTCATTTAGCTAGCTTGCTCTTCCACTGCTGAGCCAAAGGAGCCACTTAATATATTGTTGTAAGAGTTCACACGCATGTTCCCTCATCCACTAATGAGCCTTATGAGCCAAATGAGCCACTGAATATATAAATCATGGACTAACATGCTTAAGGATTAATCTCATTCTTTCATCCACTGCCTGGCCAAAGGAGCCAAACATTAGCCACCAAATATATATACCCTAGATTATCCCTCATTCTTTCATCCACTGCCTGGCCAAAGGAGCCAAACATTAGCCACCAAATATATATACCCTAGATTATCCCTCATTATTTCATCCACTGCTGAGCCAAACAAGTCATTAAACATTGAACTTCTGTATGACTTAACACATGTATTTATCATTCCTTGTTTTTTTATCCACTGCTGAGCAAAATTAGCCACTGAAGAGAGCCACTGTATATATGTGTTCCTTCAAAAGTGGTCCTGTATTGTGTAGTTTCCCTGCTTTCCTAACAGAGAGTGCCATTGTCAAATATCTAGAGAAAGGTGACATTACTGTTCCCTGAGTAGACTTAACAGGCATTTATCTTTACAGATATCTGCAACCAGGAAAGAAAACCTGGCAGGTGTATGGCTATTTTTCCAAGATGGTACTACAACAGTGCATGGAAAAACTGCACAAAATTCATTTATGGAGGATGTCAGGGAAACAAAAACAATTTCAGGACTAAAGATGAATGTGAACGGACATGCCTACGTAAAGGTTAGTCTAGTGAGTGAGCAGTGCAACAATATACTGTTTCAGAGGTTTCATTAAGAAATTTAGTTGCAAGGAAACAGTTTAAAGTAACAAGAGCATATTCCACAAGTCTGAAAAAAGGCTTTAGCTGAATTATTTCCACATTCTCAGATGCTTAATGAATCATCTCAAATACTGTATTCTTCCACTTTTAACCCTTTAACTCCCAAGATCTTTTTAGTAATTCTCTTTACTGCCTGCTATGCAATTCTTCTGATTTTACTTCTGAGAATTTGGTATTGGATCAACTAATAATCCCCTAATTGATACTTTTCTTGGTTCTCATCACTTGCTGTCTTGATTTTGTATTGATATTGTAAGGAGAAATTCTGCCTGAGTCACTCATGAGAGTTTAAGGGTTAATTAAGTTCTCAAATGTAATTGTTCAGTGCCATTGGTTATTTATTTAGTATATTTTTTTTCTTTTAGGAGACAATAAATTAAAGACCTCTGCTGAAGAACCAGTAGATGAAGAATATGACGAAGAACCCTGCAGAGAAGCATTAGAAGGCTCAATTCCACTGAAAATAAACTGTTTCAAAGCAAAGCTGTTTTATAGAGGGCTCTGTCGACCATCCCAAGGTACACCTGTTCAGCAATCTCCATTTGATGTGAAGCACATTCTGGCCTGTAAGAAAGCTGGTTACTCTTTGCCACTGAAGTGCTCTTTACATATACATCACAGCAAGTGGACATGTGTGGATAAGTCAGGAAAGAAGATTAATTTGGATTTTGCTAGTACATGTGGCTTTAATCTCTGTCATAAACATCATTAAGGACACTTGTGTTGGAATGGCTCCTTAACAAAAAGTTGTATTCATTTCATTATATTAATCGTTTGTGCCACATTGTAATGACACGTGTACTTTTCTAGAATGTTAAAATTTGGAGTTTTTCATAGAAATTTTCTTTTTTTCTGTTTTTAATAAATTGTTAAACTAAATGACAGATTGAGCCAAGTTGTAATTTAGATTTTTTTATGTCATATACCCGTCCTCTGTGTTACACAGGGACATTAAAGTTAAACTCCTTCCTTAGTGCAATGTTGTTATGACTAAGGAACAAGACTTGTAATGAATAGTATTTCTTTGCATTATTTAAGATATTTATCTGGACATATTTATCCTGAATGTTAACGATGTAACAACTTCATATGTATGAATGAATTCTAGCAAAGAATAATAAATGTTTAGTTTATATAACACAATTGTTAGTAAGAGTCACTTGTTCACCTGCATTTGTAACATGCAGCTGCTGTAAACTTGAATATGCTAATTGTGAATTGCTACGCCATTGGTGAGCAATGATGCTGATGGGAAACACCAAAGCTCAACAGAGGACTGTAACAAATATTTGTCGAGATCTATTCCCTCGGATTTCCCATCCTTAACGTTTTCAGATTTTACCAGTACAGAAAACAACAACAACAGCAAACTAAAGTTCTACTGGACACACATTGTCCATGGTATTTAAGTAATCCTTTAATTTACCTTCTACTCAATGTCACATCAGTGAAGTATGTAGTATTGACATCACTGAGTTGCTCAAAAATTGTGTTAAAACTGCTTTTCCTGGCAGTGCCCCCATACAGTTACCCTCTCAATTCAATTAAAGTTTTCCTTATTCCTATCAACACCCCATGTCATGGAATCTTCTTTCCTTTGTAAACCTCCAGCCTGGAAATGACATGCCTTTGGAAAGAGCATTGCCATGCAGCTCATTAACCCCATACACCATAAAAGTGACCAGAGTCTAGCTTCTCCTGACTACTGCAGAATCATTCATTTGGGATCATAAGAATAAAGGAAATGATCACCAACTAAAGAAGCCCCTGATTGTTAAACAAATTCTCCTTGTCAGCACCTTAGCAAATGTATAAACAACTGTATGGAGAACGTGCATACTGATGTTTAGGTGTAGAGGGTTGATGATAGTGTCTCCTCCTCAGCACCACCCCTCCCTCTGTGTGTACAAAATGCAAGAGGCTATCAACTACTATCAAATGTCAACCGATGTCTTGCTCTTCAAGGTTTCACTGGTTGCGGATCATGTCTAAAAGTACACACGAGTAACCACGGGTGACTACGAATGACCACGAATGACCACGAGTGGAAAAATTTTAAAAAGTTAAGCATTAACTAAAATAAAAATGATAATAAGAAAAAAGATATTACAGTGAATTTAATGAGAAATCTTAAAGGAAAAAGAACTGTAGCCCTCATTCATTAAAAACCCCGAATAAAAGGAAAAAAGTTAAATGCCCTGATGTTTCCGTTATTATTTGCTTGTTTATTTACACAATGACACCGATCTGTCATTCTGCATCGCTGATTTAGACAACCAAAAAAAAGATTTTAAGCTTTCTGAATGACTATTTAAAATAAAAATATATTTTAGATAATTAATATATTAATTTTATTAATAGATACTTAAAGCATTTTCAAAAGTTATTTATTGCGGCTAAACGATACGATTGCGTTACTTCAGTCGACGACCTAAGGTCAAACTATGAATGAAGAGTTGAAAACTAGACTTGACTTATAAGCTTTCATAAAAACTTACAATAAAATCACGTGTCATGCACAAAGTCGATAAATGATTCCAAAAACGGAAAAATCAGAGAATTTAACTTTTCTCCTTTTATTCGGGGTTTTTAATAAATAAGGGCTAAAGTTGTTTTTTTCACTCGTGGTCATTCGTGGTCATTCGTGGTCATTCGTGGTCAATCGTGGTCATTCGTGGTCACTCGTGGTCACTCCTGTGTACTTTAGACAGGATCCTGGTTGCGTGAGATCCCAAAGGCAATAGGCGGGGATTATTGAGAGAGGTTGAGTTGAAAATCAATTAATCTATCAAGTTCGATTACTTTAATTTAAGCAAATTAAGAGTTGTTTTTTTGATCACACTTCCGTTGTTTGTCGTGCTTTTCGGAAAATTTAGCAAATTGCACGTTGGTGAGCGATAAGGACATATTGCACACTAAATTAGGAAAAAAACAATCGATAATTGTTTCTTGTTTGAGGGCAAGATATCGGCCTCTTTGATGTTTAATATTATCTGAAAAACGATCTCCAGTATCTTCTGGCGCAGTGCAATCGGCCCCTATGAAAAATTTGATAAGCTTGTTACCAGAGGGCATGAGTGACAGATCAGCTGTTATTACTCTCTAATTTGGTTGCTGGTACATTTCCAAATACGCCCCAAAAGTAATGAAAAATCTCAGCATTGACGTGAATAAGCACCTTGAAAGATCAAACTTATTACATTAATATCCAACTAGAGCTCAAAAACAGTCCTTGGAACACGAATCACTCTTTCAGAAATAAGTATGTCTAAAACAGGAACATATTTATCCTTCGTAGCTCTCACAACTTGCTTTCTGTTGTGTTTTCTGCTGTCACACGAGCATCGACGACTGCAGCGGCGGGTAGAAACACTGGAACACGCAGCTAAACCATGTAGGTATTGTTTTCATAACCACTTTGCTGTTGGCTCCGTTAGCTTCAAACGGCTCCTCCTCTAATTCCACTCTATACAAAATCCAGTTGTAGAGCTCTCTCTCTCTTTTTGTTTTTATTCAATGTTACTTTCCCCTTCCGTTATTTTTTGTCGTTTATGTTAACTTGGAGTTTCTCGTCATACCTGTCATTTTCGTCACACCTGTTATTTTCATTTCATCAATTGGCAATCAGGACACTCAAAAACAGAAGTTGGATGCACTGCACGTGATAAGTTCGGAAGTTTTTATCTGCCTAATAATAGGATTATGAATACCGCAGTAAAATCTAGTGTGCAGGTCGTTTTTGACAAAGTCGGAAGAGACCAAAAGGAGGAGAGGTGGACATTGGCATCGCTACAGATTTCATTAAACGAAAATAAACAACAAATAGATAAACCTTGAAATAATTGCTCCTCAGTTGTTCTCTTAACGAGATTTTGCAAACAGCTTAGAGGTGCACGGTACTGTTGTTCCTCTCGAGAAGGATCCTCCTCGAAAAAAGGTCCCATATAAAATGTCCGAAAGGTATTATTGTTCTCCTCCGACACTGTATGAGCCACGCCCATTCAAAGTTATTACAGTGACTCTCGTCAACTAGAGCTGGCATTCAGCTTTCTTTTGACTCAACTCAGTACCTCCAGAACTAAATTGTACTGTAAAACAATCCCCTTCTGTTGTTCCGTAGAAGAAAAAGTGCTGCCAGAATTTACAGTAGCGATCATTTCGACTACTCCTATGTGATCGTCAACAGTCGACTTTGAAATGAACTTGTCCCAATTTAGCGCTCATCTGTTTTTAGCCATGAGATAGTATGAATTATTAAGATATTCAATAACAGTACCTAATACTGAACCATTCGAACGCTTCAGATCTGGATGAAACAAACGCTCGTAGAGCCAAGAGGGACAACGATGATGTTATTGAGCATGACTTGGAGTGCAGTCAAAAATTGATAGCATGTGTACAGAAGTTCACTGAAAATCAACTGCGCTCCCTTCTTGAGAACAAGATCTGTGTAAATGACGAAAGCATTTGTGTTCAAGGACCCGCAGGACCTAAAGGTGATAGGGGACCAGCTGGAGAACGGGGCCCCCAGGGACAAAAGGGGGATACCGGGCAGCCGGGGGTAAAAGGAGAAAAAGGTGACTCAGGTAAGCCGAGGTTAATCTTGTACCCAGATCTTACCGTGAAACAGTTACATTTTTTTTATTCAGCGTTATTTAGATTCATCCAATTAAACTAGTTTCAAGGACGGCAGGTGAATAAAATTTTATCTAGATGGATTTCGGACAAAGTCACGTCTATGATTTTTTACCCTAGGGGCCGGTGCTGATGGACTTTTGACGCCCTCCATGCCAGCTTTTATTGTAAAACCACAGCCTGTAACAGTGAGAGAGAATGACACCGCCTCCATTCTCTGCATGACCGATGGAATGCCGAGGCCTGATGTGACCTGGAGTCGTGAAGGCGGCCAACTGCAGAACGAGAGGAGTTTTACTTTGATTGACGGCTCCTTAATGATAATGGACACTGTCCCTAATGATCAAGGTACCTACGTTTGCAAAGCGTTGAACTTTGTTGGTGAGGTGGAAGCGAAGGCAAACTTAACTGTGTTAGGTAAGATGTAGTTATGGAACATAGATCGGTAATTAAGTCAGACAATTTAGGAGACCGGGTAATCCGAAAAAGGGTAATTTAGTATTATCAACTGATTTGATAACGTAAATTGGCCACCGTAAAGAGGTTAAAAACTGACGTTTAGAGCGTAAGCCCCTCGTCAGAGCGAACTCTTCAGAGTGGCCAATTTATATTATCAACTCAGTTAATAATACTAAATTACCCTGTTATACTCTCCCACCGACCCAGCACCACAGTTTCTTCATCAGAAACTTACCCCCCCCCCCTTAATCCGAAAAAAGTCAGTCCTGAATACCAGAAAAACGGCTTTGTTGATTTTTGGGGGGGGGGATCATTCATCGCCATCAAAGCATGAAGGCGGGGATCGTATGCATAATAATTATAGAGCGACCTCCCCCACCCCCACCCCCACCCCCTCTCCAAAGTAATTAACAATGACCTGTCCTGTAGGGGATTACGAACCAAGCACGATCCACTGATTCAGATCTTCTTCTTACTTTCATTTCAGTTTTTTGCGAGGTGTTATCGTTCCAGTCTATTTGTTTGCTTACTATTATTTTTTATGTTTGTTTGTTATCTGTAGTTCCCGTTCGCATCTTAGACCATTCGCCCCACAAGTTCGTAGAAGAGGAAAGCGAATTGACACTCCGCTGTCCTGTATTTGGAAGACCTGAGCCGAAGATCACATGGAATAAAACTTCCGGTGCCCCCTCCGCCTGGGAAACGTTTCTAAATGAAGGAGAATTAAGATTTAACAAAATTGAGCTTGAAGACAGCGGCTTCTACACATGTCTGGCTGAAAACATCTTTAACGAAGTCGTCGTTATTCTGGGAGTGACTGTAGTTCCTCGTTTGAAATTTGTTATCGTTCCAAAGAAAAAGACGGAGGTTCATGTTGGCGATGACGTAGTTTTGACATGCGTAGCAGACAGTGGAGAATTCATTCCCGTTATCACGTGGTCGAAGACATCTGGCGGTTTACCTTCTGGGTCTCGTTTAGATGAAAATGGAACTTTGTTCATCGCTAACGCATCTTTTGACGCCACTGGTTCTTATGAGTGCATTGCGAAAAATATCATCACTTCTATTGAAATTGAAGTGGAAGTGGACGTACTGGTCCGAACTTGTACTGAATGGAGAAAGCTTGGTTACACAGAAAGTGCAGAGTACCGGATTGATCCGGATATTGAGGGTCCAGTTCCTGCGTTTCAAGCGCTCTGCGACATGGAGGATAAAAATGGCGTCGGAATTACAATCTTTCGTCACGACAGTGAAGGCCGAATTCAAACTTTCACATGTGATCCACCAGGCTGCTACAGAAGAAATATCAACTACACAACAACTTCATTGGCTCAGATTGTATCGGTGATCAATGTCTCGTCTCACTGTGAACAATTTATCCGATACGACTGTATGAACTCACTGCTACTGAACCAAGGTATGCCTGTAGGCTGGTGGGTGTCACGTGACGGAGAGAAGATGAAGTACTGGGGAGGAGCTCCACCTGAAAGTGCAATGTGTGCATGCGGAGTAAACAACACGTGCGCTAAGGGAGGAATCTGTAACTGTGATGCTAATGACTACGTCCTTCGCCGTGACGAGGGGATGTTGACGGACAGAGCCACCTTACCTGTAACTCAGCTAAGATTCGGAGACGCTGGCAAATTTAACCGCGAGTTTGGATTTCATACACTTGGGGAACTGAAATGTTTTGGACTTTTTCAGTAAGACGTTCGGTATTTCAATATTCCGGTCGCTAAGGTGTGACTGCATAACGTTCCCTGAAGATTGTTTTGCAAGGACACTCGCCTGGTCAATATTCAAAACCGTTATAGTACTATGTTAAACTGAAGATTTGCTACGAAATATAAGATGGCCTACAAGTGTAACTGGCTGCAGTTATAGCGATTTAGTTATTTGTCATATCATATTAAAAATACAGAAACTTAGTTCGAGGACTAAGTGAATCGAGTGATAAGAAATTATTCAAAGAAAATGAAGACGGCTAGAATGTAGCAATTCTTAACTAATGATCACATAAACCGCCAAACCCGATTTTTCTTGGTTTTATAAGAGGTGATCAATATACCGACATGCTATTAAGTATTGCTAGACACTTGAATTCTTTAATAAAGCGTATAATCTTTATTAAATACAGGTTGTGTAAAACGTACCCTTTCAATAAAAACACATTTGAAGACACACATATGAGTATTATACGTTGCTGTGGGTATATCCAACTTAGTTAATCAAAAATAATATGAAATGAAAATATGTTGTTCACTATGTTTTCCAGCTATATACAACATTAAAGCCTCCTCGATTCTTAATAGCTAAAGGAAAGAACTGGGGTGACTCGTTTTTTCAAAACCGTGGTGAAAACCCCAGAAAATGGGCCCTAGTAGATCATGAGATTCGATTTCTGAGATGCGCGAAGAATTCTCTGTCATAAACAAAGTAAGGTAAGTACGAAGCTTCAGATATGAATAAAATTCTTTGGCCTCAAAGCATAAATAAAGGAAAAAAGAATGTCGTTTTCACTTGAAATGGCCAGCTGACTTAGCCAGAATTCGAAAGAATAAGGGTTTTTAGAGCTCGACCTGAAATGACCGATTTTGAGGCATGCAGTGAGTTTTGTTTCGTTAGGAAGAGCTTTAAAAGTACCCGTCTTCCTAGGGGCCATGAACTTGTCAGTATCATGCAGCGATTGTTTTTTACTCAGTATTTCATTTCCATATGAGAAGAGCTTCAACCCAAGATTAAAATGACCGACGCGTTTCAAGGTTTCCTCCTTGCAGTGGCGGTGGCGGCATTGTTGCTTTCAAGTGTAGCTCTCATTCGCCTTGACACAAATTCTGTCGAGTTGTCTTTGATGCGCCAAAATATTAAAAATCTGGAGATTCAAATTCTCAAAGCAGAGGACAGCCCATGTAAACCGTGTGGTAAGTACATAGAAGGATTCTTCAATTGATTTTTCAACTTGCCTCCAAAGTCTTTTTTTTTTTAAACAGTCGCGGACGGAATAAGGCTTTCAAGTAGCAGTTTAGAGGGGAAATATGTACATTAAAGAGGTAGAAATGAATGACAAAGAACAAGGATTGAGGAATAGTAAAGGAAGATTGACGCGGATTTTATTCGCATGTCGAGTATAAACCCGGCATTGAGGTTCAGTTGTACAAGATGCTATATTATCATAATATAGTCCCCTTAAGGCTCGGGCGGTATTTTATCCCACACAGTTTAGGGGTATCATCGAAATTTTCAATGATGTCCGGAAATTAATAGAAAACATCCCAAATTCCATCACACCGATCAATGTATCTCATCTCAACTTTATAGATATTTTTTTGATTAAAGGTTGTTACAGTTTTTCAGTTTGAACAAGTGGTACGATGGTAATTTAAACTACTCGAAAGAACTGGTTTTCTATTTGTCTGTGGTTATGGCCCCTTCAAACGAAATCCTTCTGATATCTAAATCGACACCCAGTCATATTAAAAACAGAAACAGCGATCATGTTTAGGGAAGATCCAAAGTCTCATTATAAACCCCGATCGTTATGATGTATGCGTTCACATAAAAAAATATATCCCTCTCAAGGAGATGAGTGAGATGAAGCATGTATCGCCTACATTGTTTTTCACACAATTCTTTCGATACTGACTCAGAAAATAAGATAAAAAAAATTACCATTGTTTCATTTCGTTTCCTGTTCGGGTCATTTCACAGTGTGTCGAGGCATGATACGTCAAAGTCAGCCGGGTCTTTCATTTGTTTGTCCATGTACGATTTATGACCTTGCTAGAATGGAGGGTAAGGTTTCTGCACAGCCCCATACTGTTCTAAAATAAAGTCGTAGTCTCAAAGGCAATTTAATTTTTTTTGTTGTCGTCTTCTTTATCTAAGAACTAGATGCATGATGAAGTGTGGGGCTGTGCAGAAATTTTACCAAGCTGAATTCAATGTAAGATATTTCATGAAAAAATGATCTTTAAAAACACTATTTCTGAAATATGTGGGCATAGAACCGGTCATTTAGGACGCGCGCGAACTCCTCTCGGCCACTCGAAAACAAACTTAAGAAGGTGAGATTAAAAATGGTCTGAGAATTTGACACAGTTCAGTTTGACAGCATTCTAAGATTCGATCGTTATTTATTTATTACGCAAGATTTCTTTTCAGACCACCTGGAAATACAAGAAAGTAAACAAAACGATCGCCAAAGAAGATTCTCTAGAGGCCTGGGGCTGGGTCAGGAATCCAAGCCACGCCAGGAAGGCAAGAAAGGTATCAATCGAAAGATAAAAATGGAGATAAAAAACGAAATTCGCATGGTGCTGGGTTCACTAACTCAGATTTTCTGCGCAAAAGAAGAAAGACTTTGTTTTGGAGGCCCTAAAGGGGAAAAAGGTGACGTGGGCATTGAAGGAAGTCCTGGAGTTCGCGGGGAAAAAGGAGTCGCTGGACCGACTGGACCGAAAGGAGATAAAGGTCAGTTGACTTACTTGAATACAAGAAACCTTCTTCTTTATGCCTTGAAGTTTCATCTATGAGTACAATATAATAATGAAGATGATAATGGAAATTTGATGATGATTATGATAGTTTCAGTTCATAGGATTACTTTTTTAGAGACCTCAATGCATGTAGAAATAAACACTAGGCTATTCAATAACTGGGCACCTTACAGCTGCGTGAAAGCCGCCAAGCGAATCTAAAGTCTGATCCAGTCAGTTTCTACAGATTTAGGGCTGCAATAAGAACGCACCACTCCAAGATGTAGCCGAATTATTTAGAGGAAAATAGCAAGATTCCGCCCAACGATCGCAAATTGCTGGTGAGGATTTACTGATTTCTCAATTCATCGGATGCGCGACACAATTAAAATTTTAAAAGTTTTAAAATATTAGTCGCGTCCTCGCTGATTAATTAAAGCAACACACAGCGTGAGGGTTAAACCAAAATGTTCCACTATTGTTTTTTAAGGTGATCCTGGTATTTCAGTTGCTGCTCCTACAATTACTACACCATCAAAAGTGATAACCATCAGAGAGACACAAACAGCCTCACTGTCATGCAGAGCCAAAGGACTTCCTTCACCACAAACAACCTGGGTTCGAGTCTATGGGTCTTTACCCAGTGGTCGTCACGTGATTCACAGTAATGGTACGATGGTTATCAGTGGGGTTCTGTATGAAGACGCTGGAATGTATGTGTGCCAAGCCAAGAATGTTCTGGGAATCGCAAAATCGACCATGCTGCTGATTGTGCACGGTACAACATTTAAATTTTCTCGATTTAAGGAAAAGTCAATATAAAGAAGGCTGTGATCTGGACCCATAAGTTACTAATGAGCCAACAGGGAACTTGATCCCGGCTGAACTTTAACTCAGGCTTTACCTATATATCCAGTCTCACCCCTAAGTGATTTAAAACGTTCAAAAACAGGAACGTGGGAATTCATATTAGCTGAGGGACGGGGGAGGAGGGCTCTTAACAAACTTTAGAATTGGTAAACCTGTTATGCTCACTTAATTTTTTTGTCCAGTTCCCGTTCAACTGACAAGGACGCCTCTTCCACTACGGATCGAAGAAGGACAGACAGCCATGTTTATATGTGAAGCATCTGGATTTCCTGAGCCTGTGATAACTTGGACAACGCTATCCGAGAGAGGGCGCATACTTACAAATGGGTCAACGTCTCTTAAGGGACAGCTGACAATCTACAACGCCACCCTTAATGATAGCGACTACTACACGTGTACTGCTAAAAATGACGTGAATGAAGTCAAAGCATCTGCACAGTTATCCGTTCTCCCTAAACTGAAATTTCTTATCCGACCAGTCGAGCAGATGAATGCATATCTCGGCAGCACAGTGACACTGCATTGCCAAGCAAGCAAACAACCAATACAATGGGCTAAGGAAGGTGACGCTATGCCAAAAACATTCGAGATTTTGCGCAACGGAACTTTAATTATAAATGTAACATCTATTCTCGATGGTGGATGGTACCGCTGTGCAGCAGAAAGCGAAATCGCAGTCATTAATGCAACTTCTGCCCTAACAGTCCAGGTGCGATCATGCAGTGAGTGGAGACTCGCAGGTTATAATCGCAGTGGTATTTTCAATGTAAAAGCAGATGAAGATTCACCGATGTTCAAAGTGTTTTGTAACATGACTGATAAGGGTGGTGTTGGGGTATCGGTGATCAGTCACAACTCAGAGCAGAGAACGGCCGTCGAGGGCTTCTTTTACCCAGGGAGCTATTTACAAGAAGTGACTTACGTGGGGGCAACTATGACTCAGATCAAGAACCTCATCCAGGCATCCACCCATTGTGAACAGTTCATAAAATATGAATGCCGCCATTCTGTGCTTCTTTGGAGGGGATCACCTTACGGCTGGTGGGTGTCACGTGACGGACAGAAAATGACGTATTGGGGAGGCGCTTCCCCCGACAGCAACATGTGCGCATGTGGAATGAACTACTCATGCGCCACGGGCGAAGCGTGTAACTGCGATGCCAATGATCTGACGTGGAGAGAGGACAGTGGACTACTGACTGACAAGTCCACTTTGCCCGTTACGCAGCTCCGGTTTGGTGACACAGGAGACCCAAGAGAAGAAAAAGGTTTTCATACTTTGGGAAAACTGAAATGTTATGGCATAGCCTCGACCAAGTCATAAGTCTACTTACCTAAATCCTAATAGTTGTAAGTTAGGAGTTTCACCAGAGAGAAAAATACGACAGATATGACAAAGTTTAGATACATCCGAATAAAATTAAAACTAATAGCTAATTATTCATTATCTAAGGAAGTGGAAACTGAGTCGAAGAAATAAACAATAGATTGTTTCATGGTAGTAATCTAAAAGCTGATAGTATCCTGTTTACCAGTAAAAGGGTAACGAGGATGTTGCGGGGGATCATGCGAGTCAAAAGGTTTCAACCTTTCAAACCTCATTTCAATCTCATTTCAAAATGCGAAATAAATCACTTTTGGGGACGCTGACGCATCTGATCTCGATTCTCTATATCATTCAGAAATATCTACCTTCTCCATATTCCCGCCATAACAAAAATTTCTCCTGTCATTACTCTTAATGTAACGAGTAACGGTGGATGTCTCCAGGACAAGAATCTTTCTTGCGCGGCAAAACTTAGACGTTTCATGACTGAAATTTCCAACTGGCGCGTAATTCTTTAAGTTATCAGAAGTTAAAAAATTATCGGTGTGTATTCGCCCAAATTATCGATGGTCTTCCATTTCCCCTACTCTCAATCAAAGCAAGCAAAGGCCTTGGGTATTTTGCAATTACCTTACTAGCATTTAAACCCAGCAGTCTAAAAGAAGCTGATTACAGTTAGCACTGTCTCACAGATCCTGCAAAATATTTTCCTCTTCAGCACAGCGTTTTTCTAACTCTGTTTTTTTCTCCTTGACGCCATTTTTTCGCTATCATGTAATTGATTATACACAAAGCAACAATCAAAGCTGAGAATAGAAGTACTTTCTGTTTTTTTGCAAACATCCTGCGAAGTAAACACACCTGTCAGATTCGAGTAGTGCTTTTAGTATCAATGGATTGAACGCTGAGATCTTCTTGCAAATTTAGTCCAACAAGGAAAACAAGTTGCTCTTCATGTTTCGTGCTTGGTCGAAGTGATTCTTAAATTACCAGTATGCTTCCAAGATAAAGTTTATCCTCCTTTGATACTACGTATTACAACAAATTCACACGAACACGAAGAACGCCAATTGGTGGAGCGCAATCCCGATGATCACAAAATTATCCCTCTTAATTCTGTAATGTCATGCTTTGTACCGTGACTCTCAATGCATTATTTGATTACTCTCTGTAAAAAAATGCGTCTCTCAGTTTTCTGCAAAAATTAACTCAGAAACTGATGTTTTCAATGTCGATTTAAATTCGAAGCATTTAAATGAAGTTGAACGATGTGACGCAAAATAGCACAAGTAGTATACAGCGGTATTTCTTTTCAGTAAAACGTATCAGCAATATCATGTCAGTATGCCATTATGAGATCGAATTTAGCTTGTGCAGCGGATTCCAAAATGATTCTGCATAGTAAGAGTTTGTTAATGCTCATTTCTTACCTTGACAAGTAGGAAACTTTACAAGTCGAAACACTCATAAAAATAGATTCAGTCGCTCATAAGTCAAGGTTTATTCTCTTCAGCTTTTTTTAACCGAGACACAAAGCATATTTAATTCTGTTTTTACAAGAATAGTCTGCCGAACTACGGTAGAAACAAGAAATTATCACACGTGTTTTCGTGAGCCACTTGGTTTTCCAAGCAACCGAGTCTGTTGAAAAGCAATTAAAACCCTAACGTGAATATCATTATGAATTTCTCACAGTTCAAGCACAAAACTGAATTCTTGGGGAGATGTAAAATTCTGGACAAGTGTCCTCAAGTTTCTTTGTGTATATGAAGGAATGAACGCTGTTTTCAACCTTGTGAAACCATAACGGAGTTTGATTCCCTCGCCTCAGTGTCTTTCTTCCCCCTCTTGCCCTTATAAAGGTTAACGAAAGGAACTGGGAACAAAGATTTCAGAGCTAGTTATCATTCTTCACTTAGCGTAAGGTCCCGAGGGAAACAGTTTTGTTTTCCCGAGAGTCCTGATGTTTCCTGAGACTTTCCCTTAAACAATCATATGCTGTTGTATTCGGCGCGCGGGCAACAACTGCGCAATTGTATCCCGGTCTTGAATTTGATCAGGGGCACATGACCAAGAAACAACCAATCACAGTGCTCGTTTTGTTGAGTGGAGGTCTAGGTATTTAACAAGAGGACTTATCCTCCTAGTATTAGATACAGTAACTTAGTAGTTCTAATGGTAGATTCTGAGTTGGGATCACTGGTTTAACCACCTGCGTGGGTCCTAAGCCAGTTTGTTACACGGTTTTTTTTAATAGCTTTCACCAACGAGTTCATTGTTTACATTTCTTCCTTCAATTATTTCCGACTGTTAGCTTAGGGTTAGGATTTCCACCTTTCCATGTGTTTCGAATAATCGGTCTTAGGAAGATAAATGAGACAACTAACACTCCAAATACCTGACAAAATAAATGCTTGGGATAAGGGGAAGCGGAAAGGGGGGGGGAGAGAAGGGTACCAGCGATGGGAGGAGAGAGGGAGTAGCAATGCCGCTTTTACTTGCTGAATGCTTTGGAAAACGCGATATGTTCCGCATGTCAAGCCACGTGTATTGTGCGCAAACTTTAACAACAGAGACTTTGAGCAGATAATCCAGAGGATTTAATGGATTGGATTAATGTGCAGGGACGTGCTCAGACTGCAAACAACGGATCCCTTCCAATTTCAGCAAGATGCGGGAACATTTAATGAAGTATTTGAGAATAAAATAACTGGAAGGCAGTACACTTGTCAAGCAGCATCAGCATTTAAGCATCCACAAATAAGCGCTGGTTTTAAATTCGTGGTTTAAATAAAAACTCATGCTATCTGCATAATTTTGATATAAAAATTAATTATGAATTGGAACAAACACCTGATTATTTAAGGAGCGTAATCAGATTACATCATGGGCCACAATAAAATAAAACTTTGCTCTTTGTTTCAATTGGTCATTGAATAATGATCGAATGGTCAAATTAAATCTTAAACAGGTACGGTAAAATTGAAAAGAGAAAAATCGGAACAAGATTATGCAACATCCCTCTCTATACGTCCCTTTATGTTATCAATATTGAGTTTATACTGCCTCAAATTCATTGTGATAAACCACTTTCTGCTATCTGGAAACTAAGACTAACACAAGCGAACGATAAAATAACAATAAATAATGTTAATAGTAAAAATAATAGTCTGAACAATAATAGTCGTGAATTCATTTCTTTTGAGAATTATTGAGAGGCTTATGTAATAAATGCCGCATCAAATGCTTGAGAACTCAAAAGTTGCGACATTCCATTTTCCCTTAAATCTGAGAAAAAAATTTCTAGATACTCATTCTTTGAGGTTTTTCTTTTGAACTGAAAAAAGAACGCCAACAATAAAGGCTCCTGAAAGCCACTCGTTAGAACATATTACGTGACTTCGACTTGACGAAGCACAAACCTCTTGAGTTATGAAGAAGGTCAACATCAAACGAAAATTAGTTAACCGTTTCACTCCCACAAGTAAACAAGACAGAATTTCTCCTTACAATATCAATACAATATCAAGCAGGTAGGTGAGAATAGAGAAGAATATCAATCATGGGATCATCAGTTGATCCAATACCAAATTCTCTGAACTAACATCATAAGAATTGTATGACAGATAGAAAGGAGAATTACTAATTAGATCTTGGGAGTGAAAGAAAGTGTGACAAATAACATTAAAGATAGTGTACACTTAAGGAATTGTAAAGTAAGCCGTATCGCGCAGTTTAAAACTGAAGAAGAAGCATTAAGAGATGGTTGGGCAAGAGGCATTTTTTGTAGCGCGACGAGTCCAACCTGACACATTTAAAGAATCTCCACACCTAGCAAACAACCATTTGGCGTTGACATATTGGAGTATTATTAGTCCTGCTATGTACTAAGAAGTATTTAGAATATTGTGTTTGCCTAACTTGTGAAATAATGGATTATTAGCTCCGTCGACACCCGAAACTTTTGCACCCGGCAGACATTGCAAGTTACCTCTTTCTTCCTTATTCGAAATCAACGTTAGCGAATAGAGTCAATGAGTAACACAATAAATATCACGAGGATTTGTGCATGTAATTTTATGTTGTTGATGGAACGGGCAACGACAAAACTAATAATAGAAGGTCACGTTTGTGAACGATTTGCTCTCTGACGTCAAAAAGGTGTTGATGGTGGCTATTTCAAAGGACACCGCCATGGACAGTTTCATTTCCTGTCTTCACTTTATGCTACTCTAAAAGGAAGTATTTCAAGCTAATTTCGGCATCATTAAAGCAGCCTTGTCAGAAAGCGTATGTAGTAAGTTTACTCAAGGGGTAAACATGCAGACTTTGATCAAGAATATATTATGTGGGGTCTGCAGATTCAAAACAAGTTCAATCATTTATAGCAATTTATAGAAATAATGGTTCCGAAATGCTAACCTTTATTAAGTCTGTGGATTACATTAAAGAACCATCACTCAAAGAGATCCCGTTGAGGCAGTTTATAGAGCAAATAAATTAAGTTTTTACAATAGCCTCTCGAAAATGATAGCGAAAGCAAAGCGTTTTAAGCGTCATGATAATAAGTGAGAGTAAATTCAGAAGTTCTCAGTGGTAAAAGCGTTTTTTTAATAAGTTGTATCATAATAAAGTGGAAGACTAGGAGACAATTAAAACCTATAAAGACCAGTACAGTCTTATATAACTTCAATGAAGTGTTTAGTTCACAGAATTAAAAGTTATAATTATATTTTGTTATTTAATAACAAGTTGTCATATGATTTGTAAGAGTGCTCGATGACCTCTCTCTCAATTGCTTCAACGGGCGATAGATCTTTGAGTTCTGTTATTTGGTAAAACCTTCGATGACTTCCAAAAATTAATTTTTGGTTACTAAAGAAACACAAAATGGGTTCGTTTGATACTGTTTTATCCTCGCTGAAAGCAACTATACATAATTTGGCAGCAAACGATGAAAATCTCGTAACTATATAAAGGATGCTACTTTGGATTACACTGCAAATAATGCAACAGATAATGACCCAAAGCCGACTTGTGGCTGACTGACGTTTTGTAAAAGACGTTTGCTCTCTCCTTGCTTGTTCTCGTTGAATGCCATATTCATTCAAAATAAGCGTCAATTCAGATTTTGTCTCCTATTAGCTGAGTCGACCCCAGCTGAACAAGGTCGACACACTTTCCCCAGTTTAGCTTCAGATGTGTATCATTGGATACTCGTTTTAAAACTATTAGGACGAAAACGTGTGGCTAGGATTGGTTACTGGAGTGTACAGGCCTTGGACAATAAAGGCATAACACGAAAATCTAACAGTGTCAACAAAATAATCTTCTAAGCCGGTAGTCTTAGCGGGTATGGAATAAACACCTGGACTATTAGACCACTTAACAGAAGAGAAGTTTGTTGCAACAAAAGGATTCTAATTTATTTTAAGTTGTTGTAATACATGAATGGGTTTAACTTGTTCAAATTCGTCAAATCTTAATCCGTGTTGGAAACATAGTTTTCTTGCAATCAAGACATCGATATGATTCTGTTGTCCGTATCAGCAACGGATTTATCTAAAAAGTTTTGGGAAATGTGAAAAGCGAACCATAGCATAAATTCTTCAGTTTCTTTATTCATCGTCCGGGAGTTCATATCCACATGATGTTCGCATTTGTTACATGTAGCTGTGTGGATATTGAAATTCTCTTACTCGCACCTGACGCTTACCGGCAGATTTTTGCATAAAAGGCACTGAACTGCCCTTGAATGTAAATTGGATAAAGTTATTAGGATTCAGAAGATTCGAAGCATGGACATGCAAATATCTCAGTTAAGAACAAATTAGTTAAGCTCTAAAAACCAGTTTTACTGTATAGGAAGGGTACATAAGGCACAGCGGGTTGTGAATAAGAATGCTCCGTCTTTGGAACGACATCATGCACTGATTCTTGTTTAGACCAAAGACAAGGTCAATCAACGTCCCTGAAAAAGGTTCGTTTATTGACTCAGACCCACGTAATTTATTCAACGTTTTCAAGTTACAAAGCTAACAGAACCGAAAATCTGTCATCTTGAGGGTCCTTTGTTTTGTTTTATTCAAGTTATTGCTTTAGTAAACCGCGAGAGCTATACCGCGCGTTATTGCCTCGCTGTAGACTCGGTCAGACGTCAGTTGAGTGGAACAATACCTTGTTTGTATTTCCTGCAATCCACTGGAAGGAGGTAATAACTTTTTAATTTCGGATCAATGTCCTCTCAGTCATCACATGTGACAATCCACTATGTTTGTCAACGCGTCACGACAAGAGATATCAGCCACAAAACAAAGAGAGCTACAATAGACTGCGGTTTCTTGTTAATTGGAAAAATTCCTTGGTCGCAAAAGTTTTCTGCGGTATACGGCGAAAGAAACTGCAATGCACGAACAAGCATGTAAGAAAGTTTTAACTTTATTTGGAGTAAAAACTTATTAACTGCTGTTCCCAAGCGATGTACAGGTAGAACGGGTCGCAAATGGGATTCTCAAGACTACGAGAGCGGAAAATACCGTTTGGCTTTATTGGTTCAAATGAGTAAGCTCAATGTACATCTATGAACTTGAATTCAAGAAGTTGCAGAAAAGGTTTAAAGGAAACATTGGCTACATGAAATTGTCTTAAAATGCCAAAAATGATTTGAAATGATTCTTATGTTCAATAAAATTGAAACCAGTCCCGACCAATCCAGAATTTACGTTCTTGGGACACGAAGGGACATAACTCCTCATAATTTCGACGCCCTCCCAATTTAAGTCAACTTTTATTCAGCCGTGAAATCGTTTAAAATTAAAGATTTAAAGACTTAAGCAATTTTTAAAACTCTCCTGAAAACCTTTACGACAATGTTCCTTTGAATTCCTTTCTCAATGAACTAAAATTTAGGAGAACTTCGGAACGGGTGTGCCTCGGGGGTGCCTCAGAGTAGATGACAGAAAATCTTATAGTTCTCCAAATCAATGACAGCAGTGAAATTTTTTTCCAAGACTAAACTGAAAAATCATCATGTAAGCCAGAGCATTTTAAACAATAAATCGACTTTTCACAAATACTAGTAGAAGATATCAACTTAAAACATCACAGAGTGATGTCAACAGACATGCAGTCTGTTAAACTTGGAAGATATAAAAAAGAAAACAACAACATATAATACAGTTGATTTAACTTTGCCAATTACACAGAAAACATATATTGTGCAACGGCCAGCAACATTGTGTTGATGTGATAGTCAGTAATTACAGATGAATTATTAGTTATAAGTCTTCGCTAAAAGGTTCTTTGGATAATTGCGTCCTTCAGAGAAATCAGGAAGTAACAACTATTGTATTGGAAAAGACACAAGACACGTTACTTGTAAACAAATTCAATTTATTTCATTGATCACGAATGAGATATTAGTGTGGGAAATACATTTTCCATGCTCTCAGAGAAAATACAGGATACTTCATGGAAATTATAGTTCTGAATTAAAGGATAACTCCTCCATTGTACAGTGAAACATTTGTCAATTTATTCTGTATACTACGTGCCGAGCTGCAGATGGTTTTAAATTATTCACAGCCAGAAGAAATCTCAAACTTGAATTAAAAAAGAAACGTAGATCAGAATTTTGTCGTTCTCGATTTCCTTCAAATAACTTTAAGATGAATGACAAGAAAATTAAAAAAGTGTTGTTCTAAAGCTGGTTATATATCTATCGTGCTGTGTTATAAATTGATATATCTACACGCCGTGTTTTTTGCCGGTGGTGCAGGAAGATTTGTGGTTACAAAGACTCAACACCTTCCATGTTTCACGTTCTTCCCTATCCGTTGGTAAATCGAACCTCGGTGTCGTAACTTCATGACGGTTTCCGTAGTTCGGTTCCTTTCGGAAGGAAACTTAAAAGCTGAAATAGTACCTTCTCAATAGATTCTTTTGTTTGTTGTCGCTCGGCAGAGAGCTCAGTATAAAACTCACAATCTCCTTTTAAAACTCCAATTAAGACAGCTTTTTTTTGGTAATGGATGTTTAAGTTGAACACACAGAGACACAAGCTTACTTCAGGAAAAGAAACCTTTCACTTGTACTTTGCAAAGTGTTTCTAGTTAATTAAAAAAATCTTTGTTAGCTTTTCTCTAGATTAATAGCTAATTAGCAAGCGATGGAGCAAGCCGACAGACAACAAGGATAGTCCCTAAGTATTTGACGAATATAATTTTCTTCTCCGTGAGAAGATTAGAAAGTGTACAAAAAACGAAGAAAAGGCTTTTCACTAAGCCACGAGCACTCTAAAACCTAACTGAAATCAGATCGAGTCACTGTTCTAATTTATTTGACCTAATAGGAAAAAGTGAAAACCGTTTTTGTAAACATTACCCGCGCTGTCGGTAGCGGGTCTATGGCTCGGCAAATAATGAATATATTAACAAGTTTGGCGTAAGAAGCATTTCTCACCCGAAGAAATTTAATAAAAGCCCAGATTTGCCTTAAAAGTCTAAAGAAAAAATAACCATGAGTCTTGTTAGATTTTTCGGAATCGGAAAGTACTTTGTAAATGAGCTATGAATCGCATTTAGCGCAAGTTACAATTTTGAATCTTACAGTTTTTTTCGCAAATCCAAACTCCATTGTGAAGCCAATAATTTAAGAAAACTTCGTGAATGAAACAAATCTGCGGAAGGCGCCAAGACCGAATTTAATAAACTATTTATTGTAGACAACACAAAGCGGTTTCAAAAGGTTCTGTTTACTCGGCACTGTCTTTTATAACGAATTAATCGATACACGGACTTTAATAAAGTTTTGACTTCTCGAAAATTTTGCCTTTGTGCGTTAAACAAACATGCAGAAATCTAATCAGTAAAAAGTGAGAAAACAGGTAACTCCGTGACTTTAAGGCGAAAAAGAAATATCGATCGTTTTCTTTTGACAATTTTATATCATGAATTTCAATTGTGGTCGATTTTTATCGCCGAATCATTTATCGTCAAACTGTTTGACAAAGGCCTCAATGTACTTGAGTTCACCATTGTAAGCTAGACAAGAGTGACAGAAAAAGCTTCTTGCTAGCTAAAAGTCAAACGGTTTACAAATCAAATCTCAGCATGGCTAATTATAACTCGATGGCTTACTATCAAAGCGTATTAGCTCCACAATAAAGTACTTGAATAAAATTTAATCAACAAATTCTTGTCAAGTTGTTTCGCCTGTTCGTCTTGATACAGTCAACTTTATTTACACATTGTTAGGAATACGATACTTTATAAGGCAAGCCTCGACGTGGTTTAACGGCGCAGCCTTTCGTTAACGTCAACAATCCAAAAAAGTTACCGAAACATCTCTACGTCAATTGTTTTGCCTTGTGTGCCCGACAGAGTTCATTTCGATAAAGATTTCGCGTTTTGGACTTTCCGTGGTTTCTTTTGCTTTTTCACTACTGTGTGACGCAAGGACGTCAATGAAGTGTTCCGGCAGATAATTAGCCAACGGCACCTCACAAAAGGGTCGGCGCCACACACCGCAATTGACATTTGCGAAGTATTTTTCAAACTAAACAATTGAATGCGTTAAAATGTAATTAATATAGATATGAGTTTATTTATTATCAGGCTGCTCTCTGATTGGCTGACGGTACACTGAGCTTCGATGTACAGTTTGTAAAGAAACTCAGTGACGCATAAAGTCACAGTCCCAACTTGGACGTATGCCGGTTGGATCGCGGCCGACCCCATAGTGTGTCAGCAACTTACACAATCAAACCATCCCTAAAGCCTTGTTCAGCGCCTCAGGTGACTTAAAGTTTTTGTGCTGCGGCTGGAAATCATCGTGCAATAAAATTTCAGCACCAAAAATATCCGCGAGTAAGATGAGTTCACCAAGAGATTCGCCCGAGCTGCCGTCCTACGACATCAACAACAATCAACCAAGCAAAGACTTTTCACAAAAGTGTGTAGACTCGCTCGAAGGTAAGATTCTCCTCTCGAGGAAGAAGAACGTAGATTACTTTCCAGGATTCTAGATAACTAAGTTCTAATTAGTTCAGGATTTCTCAGGGATTAAGTGTTAATCTTGCCTGAAACAACAATATGTGTTCTTACTTTTCACAATTGGAAGTGCGAACGTGCTGAACGCAGTGAAATGAGCACTTTTGTCACATTCCAGGAAGACGGAGCGCAGTGTCCTTACGCGCGAAGCGTGTTTTTCCTGCTCTTATTCTCCCCGGAAGGTGCTAATCATTTTATGAATGTTGTTTACGTTTTATCCTGCAGAGACAGCGTCAGTAGATGGCGATGGATTGAAGCAGAAACGAAAACAGCGAAGACAACGAACTCACTTCACCGCCTATCAGCTGCAGGAACTTGAGAAAATGTTTTCAAGGAATCGATATCCTGACATGGCTGTCAGAGAAGAACTCGCTATGTGGACAAGCCTCACAGAAGCACGAGTCAGGGTAAGGTAAATTAAACAAGACAAACACTAGATTCGACCAAGTCGGGGCCGGTAGCTCGCGCGGCAGGGCGACGTCTTAGTTGGGTGATGCTAAATAATTGAAGCGCAACCAAATTATCAAACGTTTGGCACGATGCACGACAAACGCCTGCAGATTTTCACATGGAAACTCATATATTTCCCGCACAATGAGATCGTTTTTTTATCATTATATTGCTAAGCTTACAAGGAATATGGCTGTTTGTTTGCACAAAAACAAGCGCCACTTAAGTCTGGCATTTTGAATACGGAATGAAAAAAGCGAACAGTGTAGTTGTCCTTGTGCTCGACGCGTGAATTATTTACAATACCACAAAATAACCTGGACCTTATTCAACTAATGGTACCGCCTTGAGGCAGATTCTCTGAAGGTTTCAGTTCTCTCAGTTGGATCCATAAAATCTCTTTGATCGCGAGTAGAACCAGTAAATTGGGATTAGAATCACTTTAAAGTCTCAAATATCGTCAAGATGTTTGCTTTTTTAATGCATTTCTTCAAAATGTATTTCCGTGCAATTACATTGTTTACCTCAGGCTTCGTCAAACCGTTTCAAAAGCACCTGGTTGTCAACAGTTCAAGTCGCTGCTCGAAACTCGTCAATTCCTCTTCATAACAAGTTCAAAAGACAGCAAGAAGCTAAACATCTCGTGCCTAGTATTTTCATCAGCCTTCTTAAGCCTTTTTTGTCCCGTTAAATCTTTCGTACCACCTAGATGATAGATCTGGAAAGCTTTCAGTGTTAACACCTTTGCAAATACCTGAATACCAACTGTACCTGTATTGTGGCTATTAGCAGAAGCAGGTGAATTTTCTGAAATGGTTGAGGGAAACATTAACAACGGGTAAAATTTGTTCGCATTTCAAAAGACTCAGAATCTTTCAAATTGTCGATACAAGAGCCAGATATAACATCCGGTGTCTCTAAAACTTTAATGGCTGTTTGCTGCTCCCTGCCCTCGTCTTTTCATATTGAAAGCAGCCTGATAACAAACTCAAACGTGTGAAAAAAACTTGTTGGGATTCATTCCACTTTTCACACTTAGCTTCGAAGGATAAAAGCATAGTCTTAACTGGGCTTTCATAAACACTAGTTCGTCGACATTTTAGTCTGGTCTTTTTTAGCTTCTCTTAATGTTCTGTACTTAGACTCTGGTTTTGATAACATTAAAAACTTTTATCTCTTACGGCCATTTGTTTTTCAAGGAGAAGGGAAGTTTGATTTTTAAATAGACCATTAAAAATGTTAAAAGCTTTGTGCTTGTATCGAATTTCAGTAACGACGATATTCACAAACACTCAATACTGCAATTTATCATCACATTATTTATTAGATTGTGCATCACTTTTCATCGGCTAATGTGCCTGTAGATCGTCCTACACGTAATGTTGGAAGACAAACAAATAGATGTGACACATATATTATTTTCTTTCTATTAGGTGTGGTTCAAAAACCGTCGAGCAAAATGGCGCAAAAAGGAGAAAAATAACCCGCCGAATATCCTCGGGCAGGAAAAAAACAGCAGCATTATTCAGAGTGTGAATGGATTTAGTTTTGATACCATAGGTTCTATGCGCTACGACAGCTCGGAAACCACGCCGTCAGTGTATCCAAACTATGGTGCGAACTACTGGAGCAAGGGAGGACCGAGTATTGGCTACAGCTCCTTACAGCAGACTGGCAACACTTTGGGGTACAATTCACAGTTTCAGATACCTTCACCATGCCCGGTTCCACCGCAAATATCGGGATCGTTGAGTCCATTTTCAACTCCGATATCGAGCGAGAATAGTTCAACTTACGCCCCAAACTCATCCAGTGTGCCAAGTATGCCCTGTGGATATCCACCAACGTACGGTTACCAGGAACAAACTTCGGTTTATTTAAAAGGTAAAGGCTCGTCGCTAAACCACTACCCGAACTATTCTCAGTCGAATCCTTACAGTCCATATCCTTACGGGATGGCCGAAATACCGATTAATATTTAGCGTTAACAAACAATGCCTGACAATGGAGTTACTTAAAGGACCGCACAGAGAAAAGAAGTTTTAAAAACACTCTTTTAAAGATGCCTTTCGTTCGAAAAGCAGTTGCTAGAAGCAGAACAGTTTGAACTGATTTGATTCTTCAGTTTGATTCTAGGTTTAAAACCGACATTAGCACTAAAACGTAATTAAAAAGCGAAAACGATCTCTTGAAGTTAATAGATGCAATCTAGTTGAGCTCGGGTGTTGTGTAGTCAATGCTGAATACATTTTATTTAAAGGTTTTAGTTACAAGATTCAATGTATTTAAAGTAGTTATAGAAAAGATCGTCGTGTCAGTTTTTAGACAAGCAAAGTGTTAAAAAGTTTCTGAAATTATAAATGAAGGTTAGATTTCCCTGAAATTTTTTCTCATAGTTTAGAATGTAATATTGTTCAACAGTCTCTGCTAGCCACTTTCATTGATCACGCTTCAACGACATTCAAATTTTTCTATTGTTCCTGGCAGACTCTCGGCGCATAATCATTTTGGACGAAACGAACACGACTTCGCGTATATTTTCCAAAGTTAATTCGCGTAAATCTATCGCCTCATTCAGTTAAGAACGGTTTGATACAAGATATAAGCGTTTCCTAATAATGGTTTTGTCTCAGGCCCGTGTATTTCTCGCGTCTTAATCCCGGAGTACATTGACTAAGTTATTAAGGTAATATCAAACTATTCTTGTATAAGGCGATGAACTGTTGAAAAGTGCTAACTCAAATGAATAAGTCTTTCCTTTTAATCTCAGCTGTGAGAAGTCACAACTTACAAGCGTTTACAAGAGACACGCCCGAGTTACCATAACAAGCACTTTGGAAAAGTGCACCCCCATAAAACAGAAAAATTTCGCGACGCACTAGAGCATAATATTTTTAATTTACGACGCCAATTGCATAAACCCGAACAGTATACAATGTTTGAATGCAATCTCTAGAGGCCGTGTTGTTTTGCCCTGGGAATTTTCAGCTGTATTTAAGTTTACACAGTCAATAAAAGGCTAAATGTTGTGCGCAGTCTTTGTGTGGTAATTCAGTCTTTTCACATACATAGACAAAAGAGAGAGCTCCATTGTACGTGTGTCTTCAGCCATAAAAGAGACCGCTCGAAAGCGCTTCGGTACCCAGGGATTTTTTATGACCACCTGAGTTTTACTATGAAACCGAGAAAATTTACGAAAAAAAAAACTCAGTTTATCTTTGAATTTTTAGCGTTTTTATCTTTCCAAGAAATGCATCTAAAATGAACACAGGAAAATGCAAATTGGCTAGACTTCTTTTCAAAATAGCTGTTTAAAAATTCAATTGACTATGAATGTCAAAAAAAGCGATAAAAAAACGCAGTTTGCCGGACGCGAAAGGATGCGACTAAATAGGCCCATTACATTGATGTATCTGATGAAATAAGATAAATACACCATAAATTGTCAACAAAACGTCTTTATGCCAAGAAGTAAATTGCATGCAACTTACGGAGATGAATCTTGCACGGAATCGCTCGATATTTTTAAGCGCGAGACAAGAAGTTTGACAAGCATTATTGAATATACAATGAACAAACCAAAGACCTGTCTCGCTTTTCCTCTTGGCTACACAAGAACAAAACTACGGAATCTTTCAATACACAGGTTTTCTTTTTGAATCGTTTTGAGCTCGTCTTTGTTTATTAAAAGTTGACAAGGTCCGCGCGTAGTTATCAATTCTTGTCATCTTTAGGGTTAATTTACGGCGCAATTTCCAGGAAGGAATCAACGGAAAACTGATCACCTTTGCAACGATTGTATTCATTTGTCTGCCTTTAAAACCGCGATATACATATATTTTTTCTATTCGTATCAGATTCACTCGGAAAAGATTTGTACAAATGATTCCTGATAATTTAGACATTGCAAAGAAATCTTGTAGTGGCTTCACTTTAATTGCTTTTTGGAAGGCGGTTTTCTTAGGTTTTCTAATATACTTTTCCTTTGAAAAACCTTTAATATCTTTGTTGGTCGATACAGAAGTACCGCCATTGTGTGGCAATTATTTCATGTTTTCGGCTATATTTCCGCTACCTATGGCAAAAATACAATGGCTTGTGATCATACACATCTGTCCTACTATGGAAATAAGCATTTTCATCACACACTTTCAATCACCCATTATGCGCATCGTGGAAATAGGAATCACCGGAGGCAGTTTTGAAAATGAACCCAACACCTATGGTGTGAGAAAAAAATCGCTGTTTAAACAAAAAAGCTTTACCGAACTGGTTGAAATTTGGTTAACGAAGTAAATATATGTACTATTTGCCAATCTTATATTTAACAAGACCTCAAATGGTGTTAATGGTGATTACGAAAATAAAAATAACTCAATAATACATAACAATATTTATATTTCCTGACGATTTGAGGCGCAAGCATTTCTTCTTGTTTTTAATAAACACACGAAAATCCACTTCTCTCAGATAATATTACACTTCGAAGTTTCCTCACTATTCGCTTGTGTTCAATTCCATATTCTCTGGAACCAAGAAATACTCAATATTTCGCTCAGTTGTTTATTATGTCAGTTTCTCGTTTAGTTTTAGACTATCAGTGAACCATCATCTCAGAAAATCTCCGCTGATATATCGATGTATCAGCGCAACAAAAGTATTCATCGTTTGAATATATGTACAAATGTACTTGTGTGGGAAGAGTTTTTAAAATAAAAATTTTCATGTTGTTTACAGGATGTACATGATACGGAGTACATCAGAGAGAACAGCTTGGATAACGCAAACACATTATCTGGAAATATTTTTTGGCCCTGGTTTTATTTTGCTTTGTTTGCAAAGATAATTTTCAAGAGTATTCGGCTCTATATTTCACACGAAGGATGGCTTTAATTTTTTTTTCGCATCAATATGAAAGTGGATAATGACGAATGCTGTCGGAATACATATAGAAAAATGTTACATATCTAATGCACAAAATAATACAAGAGGCTTAGAGCTGTTATATTAAAAGCCAGCTGAGTTTTGCCCGGAAAAAAGTTTCCGCGGAGCTTGATGATTCAGTTGGCAAACGTTACTTGGTAATTACTAGACGCTTACCAAACCCTGCCTGAAATACATGCTCGAGTCGGCAAATAAACAAAGAGTCACTTGAAAATGAACCGAAAAAAATCATCTGTTGTTTTTTCTCTTAATGTATCTGGATAAAATGTATATTGTTATTATTTAACAAATACTATTTGTAAGGGGCCCAATTAACATCCTTACTCTCGACCGCTTGCAAGTACTTTGAGTCTGAAATAGTTGGTGGGTTTAAAAAAACCACAAATATACATATTTATTCAAAACCGAAATTTATCGGATTTCATGCTCTGCGAACATATTCCGTCGAAAAAGCTAACGAGCGGCACCCTTATTTTTAAAGATTTTCAGGTGCATGAATTTTTCCTGGTGTAAATCCTGGTCTTCAAAGGCACCATCCGATGTCAATTATGTATGTAGTTCATAACTTTACCAAAATGTGAACTTATTTCTTAATCAACTACTTAATTTATACGTATAAACGTAACGTTTAGTAATACCATCTTATTCCGACCAGATTTAGCTGTTAACTCAATACTCAAGAGGTGTAATTATTCACAAAGGACGCATCACTTGCAAGTTGAAATCCTCCTAATATTATATTTTTTTCGTTTATTGACACATACGAACAATAGCGCACAACAAGGAACCCAGTGTTCCCGATAACGGTGATGTGTCGTCAAGGTAGTTAAAAAAAAACTCCATACGTTTAAGGAAACGTAGGACGGTGAAAATTTATGAAAGATAGGCTTCCTCTATCCATATGAAACTTGACATGATAAACGGCGTGCGGAAAATTTTGTCATTATCTGCTTTGACAGTGTACTTGTCACTTCTTGAAATCTCAGCAAGAAAATTTTTTCTCAAACAAGCGTTGTCTGATTGAGTTTTCCTTGGCAGCCACGTTTATTCGAAGTCCGTAACCCACATTACGTGCAAACGACCAAACTCTATTTTAAATGCTAATGAACTATTGTAATTTTCAAAAAAGTCTTTTACGGCGCCTTGGACCCCCACCCACAGAGGTTGGGTATGATATGAACCGCAAGTCAATCAACCTTGTCGTTTTAATTTACCGCACGAAAGAGCTGCCTTCATGTTACTTTTACCGTTGAAAATATCAGAAATAAAGAAAGTCAAACAAAAGCAAATTATGGTAGGGCTTGTAAACGTAAAATGAAGTTAAAGAGAATTGCAAACATGTTAGAAGCGGTACTGCAGCTCGGAAAAATTAACAACATTCAAAAACATATTTCCGTGATAACGGGCTTGGTCGTTAGAGTGATCGTTTGTTTTCAATTTTCCTCATCTTTCAGGCCTAAATCTGGAAATTTTTTTCCTTAAGGCGGTCTTCCACGTTGTTTACCTTTTCGGTTAAGATATTTTACGATTGAGCCAGTGATGCTGGGTCAGTTTGAAATGTTCCTCCATGACCTCTTGTAAAACTAGTTTGAGGGCATGGTTTCGTTGCTCGACGACGCTGCATTAACAATCATATTGAAAACAAAACAATGAAAAGAAACTGGTATTCTCTGAAAGCGTACTTGAATCATTCAAGTGAAGAATCCATTAAGAATGAAAGCACTTAACAGCTATTTTTTCCAGATAGTAACACAGTAGCCTTCACTCGCATAAAACTACACGATAAACGTATCGTGTCGGGATTTTTGTATCCCCCCCTCAAATTATGTAATTTTTTTTATATATAACTACTCACTCTCTCTTGCCTGGGCAGAATTGTCAAGCAACACTCCTAAGGATTTTAAAATGAAAGTAGTCTGACAAATGGTACTTTTTTTAATGATCCCGCATGCTTTCCGAGACGGAACTTGGAAACTTTTTCTTTTTTCCTAAAAACGAATTGCTGGCTGTTTGGTACCCTGAGAAAAGCGCAGAGATGTTTTTGAAACTCCTGTGTTTCACCTGCTCTTCAACACCGACTTTATTTCTAAACCCATTCTCATTGCTTTTAATAGAAAAACATACTATTCGGTTCTGAAGAGGTAAACCAAGCGTTTACTTGTCAAATGCATGGTGTTACAAACGAGGTTGTCTCTCAGCAGTCTTGCCCCTAGTAGTTGGAGAAGGATCCGTAAAAGGATAAACAACCTCAAGTATTTTTAATGTTTTTCTTTAAAGTGATTTCCCATGATTTCTAGAGCACTGGGCCAAATTGGTTTCATAAGACCCATTCCAAGTCACTGGAAATAAAGAAGCTCTTAAAGACAGGATAATTAAAGGCGTAAATAGTTGTTTATGTTTTTCCCTTTCACTTCAGCCTACATTTTTCACAGACAAGCGAGCTGAACGGAAAATGTTTGGCAAGAGTACTTGTTTGCAATAGCTTCCAGTCATCATGGTTACTATGACGACGATCCACTTCCCAATGATTTTAGCATTCACTGCTAACACTATAAGTCGATCAGTTATAAAAAAATAAAAGAACCTAAGTGTTTTGTTTATAAGTTAGTTTGTCTTAAATAGAATAAATCGTAAGTTAAGGCCTTAATTTTTATTACTATCATTAACGAAATAATCATTTGATGGTGACGTGTGTAAATACAAGTATATACCGGATATAACTACTCGTACCTAAATTTTCAATTTTGCAGAAAACTTGTCTTCGAGCGAAAGTTTTGAGCGATTCAGAGATAAATTATGAAGCTGCACTTCTAAAATAAGCCATTTTTTCATATGCAGTGGCTGCTCGAGTGCAAGGATTGGTAAAAACAGAAACGCGAGTGCGCGTATGGAGAAAGACTACATAAAGAGTCATGATGCCGTTAGGGACAAAAGAGTAAAATGGGATTTGCAATTTTTGCTTTTTGATTTGACGTTTTTGTCTTTGTTCGCTGACTTTTGCTCTGTCTTTTGTCTTTTTTTATTAGCTTTTTTGGTATGTTTTCTTTTTGTCCCTTTCTAAGAGGATCTAAGAGTGAGGAACAGAGAAAG